TTAATTTAGTTATCTACTTATTTATTTTTGGATTTTTGGTTTTTCAAGACAGGGTTTCTCTGAAGCTTTGAGCCTGTCCTGGAACTAGCTCTTGTAGACCAGGCTGGCCTCGAACTCACAGAGATCCGCCTGCCTCTGAAGTAGTGCTTGTCTTTAATCCCAGGACTTTGGGAGGCAAAGTCAGGCAGATCTCTACAAATTCCAGACCAGGTTGGTCTACATAGCAAGTTCAAAACCAACCTGGGCTACAAAGGAAATTCTACGTCATTCCTGGCAATTTAGTGAGATATTATCTCAAAAATGAAAAGTAAAAATGGGCTGGAGTTGCACCTCAATGGTGGCACTTGTCCAGCATGCATGAAGCTGCAGGTTCATATCCATGGTACTAGAGTAAGGAGCAAAAGAATGTTGGATTGAGCTTGTCCCTGAATTTCTGAAAATTCTTTTTTGTTGTTGTTGTTGTTGTTGTTTATTTGTAAGACAAACTCTCTGTACAGCCCTGGCTGGGCTTGAATTTACAGAAATCCACCTATTTCTGCCTCCTGAGTGCTGGGATTAAAGGCACGTGCCACCACCACCCAGCTAATTTATGAAAATTCTTAAGCAAAATCATGGTATAGATCAAGAACTTTTAAGTACTTAATATGTAAGCAGAACAAGTTAATAGGGTAGGATTGTCATTGTAAAGAGCTGTGACTTCATATTAAAACAGTGCATTTTTTAATCCTCTCCCCATTTTCTGAAATCACAGTAAAGGAGGAAAGGGCCTCATAGGGGCTACTCTTTTTTCTTTGCCTGCCCTGCCCTGTGGAGAGTGACCAGTTAGTATCTTGTTCCTAAATTCTGATGTGGACTGTTTACATCCTGGAACAGAATGCCTTTGGCCATCTGGTGCTCTGGCCTGAGAGGATGACTGATCTGTTTTATTAGCATGCAGCTGTCATTTCCCAAAACTAGGTTTTTAGAACCAATTTTGAAGATACCCTAAAATCTTTATTAAATCAACTGTCTTCTGCCATGTGTCTCCTTCTTAAAGATGTTGCATTATAACCACACGATGAATTAAGGTGCTTTAAAAAAAATCTGAGTTCTGAAGGTACCATGGGAACCTGCAGCTGCCGAGAGCAAGTTGTCCTCAGAACAAGATGAGTGGAACTGCTTTCAGTCTGTTGAGGTTTCCTGAGCTCTGTGCTGGTCTGCGCCTGTTCATCTGCTCCTGTGTGGACACTGTCTGTGTCTGAAACCTCTTTATGCTGTTTAATGTGTTAAGGATCTTCTAAAATACCTGATCATGGACCAGCAAGATAGGATAGTAAGGATAGTTAAGTAGAAGTGCTAGCACATAGGCCCAATGACCTGAGTTCAGTTCCTGGATCCCATAAGATGACAGGAGAGAACCAGCTCCTCACAATTGTCTCCTGACCTTCACATGCATGCATACTAAATTAGTTAATTGAAAACTGACTGTGTATCTGTGTAGATCATCCACATAGTTCAGACACTAGTGGGGAAATACTTAACATGTATTCTTTAATACTTATAAATGTGGTGTCAAATGTACCATTCAGTGTGTGTGTGTGTTCTTTTGAGACAGCGAGAAAGATGGTTTATTGTACATGAGTTACACTTGGCCACAAGTGAGAACAGAACTAGTCCAGAATGCCACAGGTCCAGAGCAAAGGGCCAGCAGAACTGTTTTGGTTGTAACGAGGTAGTTAAGTCTCTAGGTGGTCTCTGTGTGCAGATGGTGAGGTTCCAGGCCCACTGAGGCTAACACTGACAGTAGCGCACAGTCCAACAACTTGTACCAGTGTCCCCCGCCTTCATCATCCCTTACTTACTCTCTTTTAGCCTTCCTGTGTGGACACGCTAGTCGAGCCTCTGCCTCATCTTCCTTCTCTTGTGCTTCAGCCTGCGCATTCGCTTCTCCCTCCACTGCACTCTCATGGCGCAGGAGTTTCAAGGAAGATGATGCTAAGGCTGAGAGAGCATGTGTATGTTTAACACTTTTAATAACTTTTAAAAAGTTGGTGAATAAGGAGCCGGAAAGATGCCTTGGCGATTAAGCACACTTGCTGCTTTGGACTCTTATCTAGTCCAAGGTGATCTAGTGCCCTCTTCTGGCCTCCACGGGCAATAGGCATGTATGTGATACAGATACATGTAGACAAAACATTCATACTCATAAAAATGAATAAAGCTTAAGAATTATGTAGTGACTTTTATAAAAATAACTTTACTAGTAATGTTCATCTACTACTATCAATTTACTTGGTTATAACAGCAAATTAGTTAAGTTTAGCTTTTATCTACTTAGCTATAGAAGTTGAATGTATACACTATTGCTTTTTATTGATACGTAATATAATTAAATTATTTTCCTAACGATTTCTCTCACTTTTTCCCTTCTGCTTCCTTTTACAGCACTTTTTGCCTCGGTGGAAGTGTGAGCAGTTAATCAGACAAGGGGTTCTAGAGCACGTGCTGTCCTGACTGCGTCGTGATGACAACAGCAGGGTGCTTCAGGCTCTGCCAGGTGTGAAGCTGAGTCTAGCTCATGTAAATATCCTCACTGGACCTCCCCTCCTTCTTTGACTTTAAATTTACAGACATGCTCTAAGATAACCATGAAGGGCGCTTGGGGTATAGCTCAGTGGTAGAGCACTTGCTTAGCATTTGAGAAACCCTGGCACCTCAAAAGACAGGACAACAAAAGTCAAAGAGCAGGTTAGACTAGGAGCACTTGGCTAGTAGTATCATCTGCCAACTGTGAAGCCTTTGTTACAAGCTGTGTCTTCTGGTCATTCCATTCCCACAGTAAATGCTCTCCTTTTATAAATAAAAATAAAGTCTTTAGTTTGAATCTGTTTTCATGATATATTTTTTCAAAAGTAACAAATATTTATTTAATAGAAGATGTTGACATCCAGGAGTAGGAAAACAAATGCTTCCTTAACAGTAGAATAAGCCTCCAGGAAAGAGTTATTTTGGCCAAGTGAAGGCTAAAGATGAGGCTGCGCCTTCTTCAGGAGCTGTGGGAGACTGGAGGCTGGACAGTACTGAGTAGATAAGTTATTCTGTGTATATGGAGAGTACATTTGTTATTACTAAAAATAAATTTAAATAAAATTTTTATTATTTTGAGAATTTCATACAATGTGCTTTGTTCCTATTCATCTCCCAAATAATTTTTTTAATAATATTTATTTATTTATTTATTTGTTATGTATACAATATTCTGTCTGTGTGCATGCCTGCAGCCAGAAGAGGGCACCAGACCTCTTTACAGATGGTTGTGAGCCACCATGTGGTTGCCGGGAATTGAACTCAGGACCTTTGGAAGAGCAGGCAATGCTCTTAACCACTGAGCCATCTCTCCAGCCCTCCCAAATAATTTTTGATTAGCATATACAGTATTGGATATCATGATGATAGAACACATTTGATATAGCTTCAGTCTTTGTAATTTTTTGAGACGTATTAAAGCCACAAATAAGGTCTATCATGGTAATCGTTACAGGTTTATTTCCTACTGCTTAGTTTGGGGGTGGAATCAGTTTTCTATAAACGTTGGTTAGCTGATCACGTTTTAAGGTCCTTAGCCTTACTTTGTGTGTGTATATGTGGTTGCTAATGCACATGGGTGAAGAGGCCAGATATTGAGTGTTGGTTATCTTCAATTGCTTGTCACATTGGCTGGCCTCGAACTCAGAGACTTGCCAGCCCCTGTCTCCTGAGTGCTGGGACTAAAGGTGTGCATCACCACTGCGTGGCCTTCGCCTTCTATTTTGAGCCAGAGCCTCTCTCTAAATCTAGAGCTTACTGATTCAGCTAGACTGGCTGACTAGTGACCTCCTGTGATGGTATCACAGGTCCACAGCGCCAGCTTTTTTTAAGGGTTCTGGAGATCTGAACTCAGGTCTTCATCCTCGTGCAGCAGGAACTTTACCAGCTGACCCATGTCTCCTGCCCTTACCCGGTATTTCAGTGCCAGGCAGAAGCCCAAAGTGAAGAAGTGCACCCACGAGCTGGGCAGTGGTAGTGCACGCCTTTAATCCTAGCAGTTGGGAGGCAGAGGCAGGCAGATCTCTGTGAGTTCCAAGACAGTCAGGACTATTGCACAGAGAAACCCTGTCTTGAAAAACCAAAAAACCCAAGAAAACAAACAAACAAAAATCCCCCCCCCCAAAAAAAAACCCACCAAAACCTAAAAAATAAGTACATCCACTGGGAATGGTTTTCTTTTTCTTTTTTTGAGTAATCCTCCATGTCCTAGAAAACTTGCTCTGTAGACCAGGGTAGCCTTGAACGCACAGAGATCCACCTGCCTCTGAGTACTGAGATTAAAGGTGTGCTCCACCACTGCCCAGCCCCACTGAGTTTTGGCAAAGCCTATACTGAAACTGAGTATTTTACCGTTAGTAAAACTAGACTCTACATTTTAAGAGTGTCCCTTTCTGGGGTGTGAAGAGCTGACTGGAGTAGAGAGTCTTTGTTTTTTTTTTTTCAAGATAGGGTATTACTACTGTATGTAACTCTGGCTGTCCTGGAACTGGCTATGCAGATCAGGCTGGCCTCAAACTCAGAGATTCACCTGCTTCGGCTTCCTGAGAGATGGGATTAAAGCAGTGTTCTCAACCTTCTTAATACTGTGAACCTTTAATACAGTTTCTCATGTTGTGGAAAACCCCAACCATAAAATTATTTTATAACTACTTCATAACTAATTTTGCTACTGTTATGAATCAATATAAATATCTGATATGCAGGATATGTGATATGTGATCCCCAAAGGGGTTGCGACCCACACGTTGAGAACTACTGGATTAAAGGCATGCACCACCACACCTATCGATCCCTGCTTGTATTTTTATTGGAAGATCCAACTCTGTCCTCAGGCTTGCATATCATGCGCTTTGGCCACTGAGCCTTGTTCCTAACCCAGTGACTCTTATAAAGCTATTTACTTACGTGTGAAATACCTTAAGACTTAAAAAAACTTAAAGAGTTAAATCAATTTTAATAGAAAAGAAGTTATTGAAAATACAGTAACTTTTCATATCACAGTAGAATACTCTGGTAAACCAAATAGTCATAATTTAGGCATCTCAGTTATAAAACTATACCTTTAAAAATATATGTACAATTTCCAGTGGGACAACATTTCTGTAATGAGATTGCACTTGCACAGCGAACACTGCTATCCCTGAGCGCACCACCTCCGATGTCTCCCCCCTCCCATCTCCAGGAGCGCAGAGGACTGCTGGGGCCCACCTCTTCCTGGAGGTGTACTGACCCACATGGAGAGCACCTGATTCTGCACTTCAGTCTTCCAGCACAGCACTCAAATACTCAGCCACTTTCTCTCTGTTGCTCTCTGCTGAGAGCCTGAGTCTTTCAAGAGGATCAAACTTGAGGACATAACCCAGGACGTTACCCGAGACTCACTTCCCCAGCACCTGGCACGTAGGAGACAGTCGAATGCTTGCAGGGCGAACAGGAGCCAGTCCTTACGTGTCCAGGGAGTGTGGCTAGTGAGCCATAGAGAATTATGGCATCAGAGTAGAATTATTTGAAACTCTAGGAATCAGCAGCTTCTACACAGAAAGTGACGCTGGTGCCATCTTACTGATCAGTTTGTTGAGAGCTCGAACTTTTTCTTCCAAGACGCAGTTTTTCCTCTCAGCACCTCGCTGCTTCTCTTCTGTGAGCTGAACAGCTTTCATGAGGTGGGCGTTTTCCACATACAGTTCCTTGAGCAGCAGATCAGATCTGGTGTTCTTCTCCAACTAGATAGGGGAGAAAGTCACACTTTTCTGTGAACTGCTGCAGGCTGCTAGCCCAGCCTGGCCCTCGTCCCCGGCTCCAGTCCTATCCTTTGTGTTCTTGATCTCTGACACACATACTGGATACAATGACAGTTTCTGCTCCCTGATATAAGGGAGGAAAGTGAGAATCTGCAGAACTATGCGGAGAAAACTTAAGACAAGGTTATGGCCATCTTTGCACGAAATAAAAAACCCCGCTATTCAGTGCAGATTGGAGTCTTCAATTCTCCAGAAAACTTGGTTCATGTCTATGTGCTCTGCCTTGGTGATGCCACACAGGACACACCGAATCACTACAGCCACCATGGTAACCAGGTGTGTGAGTCCGTTGCTATTATGTACAGGGAGACTGGACAGACATCAGTGATGGAAACAGGCAGCTCCAGGCAGTGGCCCTTGCTGAGTCATTGTTTAAGACACACAGACACAGACACGTGAGCCACACGGACGACACGGACAGCACCAGTTCCGTGGCAGAGCACATTAACAATGGAGGCAGACAAACAAAGGGGCAAAGGAGCCAGAGCAGTGTGTGCCACTGTAAGGGGATGAATGGGGTATGGCCTCTCTAAGGACAGAGAGAATAGAGTCAAAAACCTAGAGCTGGGCACGAGCTCTGCAAGCAGAGCAGAGGATACACACAAAGGCCCTGTGGCTGGCGGGTGCCTGGGAGACTTGGAGTAGAAGTGAGAACAGGCTAGCTTGCCCCCACTTACTCTTGAGTGAGTGGCAGCTTTCAGACTGCCCAGATGTGGACGGCTCCATGTTAAAAAGCAACAGCCTTGACGGGAATGAATGTTTGGAATCTAAGTGGCAAGAAGAGGATGGTTGTAGGCCGGGCGGTGGTGGCGCACGCCTTTAATCCCAACACTCGGGAGGCAGAGGCAGGCGGATCTCTGTGAGTTTGAGGCCAGCCTGGTCTAGAAGAGCTAGTTCCANAAAAAAAAAAAAAAAAAAAAAAAAAAGCTATGGAGAAACCCTGTCTCGAAAATCAAAACAAACAAAAAAGAGGATGGCTGTGCCCTGTATACTCAAGCAGAGAATTCATCTGTGGCACACCAGAGGTACTAACTGAAATGGTGTCACCAGTTTATATACGCCAAATCAAGCCAGAAACACCAGGCACGTCAGCTCATCAGCCACATCACCAGGGAGAGGTAGAGCAGGACTAGCGTGTGGCAGGCACACTTCTAGTCACGAGGTCCCTCAGGAAAACCGCCACAGTGAAGGACTTCTGCCTCTTTCCCAGGTTCCAGTGCATGTGTAGGTTTCTTGCATGTGACACTTAGCTACCCCAAGCTGACCCGACACAGTTGCAGTGTCCAGCTCTGCACCTGGACTCTGTGAAGGATCTTCCGTGTACCTTTATCAGCCCCATTTTCAACTGCGGGTCACCCCCTGAACACTGCACACTCTGACCTGTTCTTTCATCCCGTGGCCTACATGACTAGATTACTGTGAAATGCGATGTGTGGTATGATGGTTAATATTAGTAAGACTGGAATCAAAGAACCTAGGCTTGCCAGTGGGCAGTTACCATGGGAAACCAGAAGTACTTGTCTAACTGTAGCCTAGCCAAGGACACAGATATAGCAGCTTGTGAATTATGATTAATCCAATCAGTTCTGACACTGTAGAAAGACACAAACAAGCCCATATGCTGGACATGTGACATTCATGACAAGGAGGCAGAAGGGCTCAGAATTATGTAACGGGGAGCAATTCCATCAGCAGAACTTTGAGTCTGGGTGTGTCTGTTGATGTGTGCATATAATCATGGGGGCCAGAGGTTGAAGTCTGGGGTCTTCTTCAATTGCTTTTTAAGGATTTTTTGTCGTTGTTGTTGATTTTTATTGAATTCTATATTTTTCTGTTCCCCTCCCTGCCTCTTCCCTACCCTTCAACCCTCCCCTAAGGTCCCCATGCTCCAAATTTACTCAGGAGATCTTGTCTTTTTCTACTTCCCATGTAGATAAGATCCATGTATGTCTCTCTTAGTGTCTGCATTGTTGTCTAGGTTCTCTGGGATTGTGATTTGTAGGCTGTTTTTCTTTGCTTTATGTTTAAAAACCACTTATGAGTAAGTACATGTGATAATTGTCTTTCTGGGTCTGGGTTACCTCGCTCAAAATAATGTTTTCTAGCTCCATCCATTTGCCTGCAAATTTCAAGATGTCATTATTTTTTCTCCTGGATTACTAAAGAAAAACTATGCACTTTCTGCCTGAATGAACCCTTCATGGACCTCCAGGTTCTAGAAGCAAAGCCTTGTTGATCCATGGGGAGGGGCGTCCATGGAGGAAGGGCTAGAGGCGGTACTCACCTGTTCTCGAAGCTCCTCCACCTTCTCCTGTAGCAGCCACTCCACATTGCGCAGCCGAGCCTCGACATCCTCCACCTGGTCCTCCTTGGCCTTCAGTTGCTGCTTGTATTCTTCCTGCACAGAAGTTACACACCAGTGTTGTACTCAAACAGTGCTTCTGTTTTGTTTTTGTTTTTGTTTTTGTTTTTTTGAAAAATTGTACAGAGTGTTGCACCTACATGTATGCCTGCATGCCAGAAGAGGGCACCAGATCTCATTATAGGTGGTTATGAGCCATTGTGTGGTTGCTGGGAATTAAACGCAGGATCTCTGGAAGAGCAGCCAGCATTCTCAAGCTCTGATCATCTCTTGAGCCCCCTGGGTTGTTTTTTTTTAAGTGAAAAATGACTAAATGCACAAATCTGAACATGATGGATGATGGGCTATCTGTGCAGATATCAGCAACATCCCCACAGGCTACAGTAACCACCTCGGTCGCTAGTTCAGGGAGACACTGTAGACTACACTGCCATAAGTGACCAGTACCAAATGAGCTTCCATAATGCCGTCACTCTTCACCTGTGATGACCGACTATGACGGTGTGACCTGAAGACACACTGGGTTTGGGAAGACCTGTGGACCCTGGCTGGAGGGGTCTCTGGGTTGGTTGGCTTCCTAGACTTCAACTAAGACCCTGGTCTACCGTCAGCACCTATTACATGTTCCTTGCTGTTCCAGCGTCCTTGTCTTTAATGCCCTTTCCCAAGCAGCCAGCCTGAAGTGCCGGCATACCTTACTCACCTGCAGTGCGTTTAGCCATCTCCCAGCCTCCTCCTCAAGGTTGAGCTGGTGCTGTAGCTCGGCTACGTGAGCTCCAGGAACCAAGTGACCCATCTGCTCCTGCAGGCACTGGACAATCCGGCCATGCTGGGACTGTGCAGCCTCCAGCATTAGCTGGACACTCTGCAGCTAGGAGGACAAGTGTTGGCATGACTGATGACTGCAGAGTCATTGCCGGACACAGTCAAAGTGTTGGTGTTATATTCTCTGTGAGGGTCACCCCAGAGAGGTGACCTGTGTTGAAGGACCTGCCTGTGTGTATGGCAGTCCTCAGGGACTCAGAGCCAAGTTCTCGCTAGCCACAGTGTTTCCATGCAAAGCGGTAGGGAAAGATTGTGTCTAGAACCTCAGGGCAACAGCTTGCTGCTGGATCAGGTTCTGTTCCATTCACAGCCTACTTCACGTGACCAGAGTGAGGCATAAGCTATTGTGAGCCCACCTGGTTTCCTTACACGGCAGAGGGAATTTTCAGTTCTGAGACTTGGCTATGGCTCAGGTCCTGGAGTGTGATTAATACACAAGGCATTGAGGACTTTGGGGACAGAAATGGAATCTGTCCCCAAAAGAACTGCATCTTAAGGTCCTAAACCCGGGGGACCAGAGCCACAGAACTCAGCATGGCTATGAGCAGTCTCTGCTATTAAACAATGCATAATTTGGCCAACTCCTTCAAACAAAGGGAAGACTGAAGCACAAGTTCAAGGAGTTTGATGCTTGTCAAAACACAGAACATCCTCAACAGAGCAAAAGAACTGGCTGCCGCAGTCTGTTTACCTCCGAGACCCCAGAGACAAGAGTGGGCAGACTAGTTCCATCAAAGATCCTGTTCAATCTCTAATCTGTCCTTGTTACCACGAAATGGAGATGCCTCTGAGCCTGCTGAGTTCCTGGTCAGCTGTGGAGCACCTGGCTGGCCCAGTAACATCCTTGGGCTGGATGAGTCATGGCAACTGTCAGCCTACTGCTGATACTACTCATAGCATAGGACCGGACCAAGTGCTTCCGGTCACCTCACCTACCCACCTGGCCTTGACTCTCTTTGAGGCTTTCTGTCATCTCTGCATGTGACAGTCGTAAGCCCTGGCATTCCTCAGTTACACGTTCAAGTTCAACTTCAAGGTTTTGAATTTGGACACCCTGTTTATAAAAAGAACAACAACAACAAAACCATTTTCATAATTATAAGCAGAGCCTGAAAGAAACCAGAAACACAGAAACCAGAAAGTTATAGACAAGAAAAAAACTGCAGATTTTTAATCTCCCATGACCCTGAGAGGCTGAGGCCCACACCTCATTTCTTTACTCTCTTCTATTCAAGCGCACCTCTACTGTGAGCTCGTAACAAAGTACACAGCGTCCTGCAGTGCTGTCCTCCTTATGGAACCTGGATCGTTCCCAAACACTGCTATTCGAGGACTTGGCATCTAAAGGCTGCACCATCATTTACTCATTCAGCTACTGATGATGCTCAAAACTAATTCTGGTCCTGTTTTCTATTATAAATAGGACATCAATAAAAACACTTCCAGCTAAATCCATAATGCTTTTAGGTACACTCTTCACAAGCAAAATTATAAAGCCAACATACAGGGGTACTCTCAGGCTCTTGCTATTTATTCTACTCTGAGAAAGCCAGAGAACCCCAACATTTGCTCCCTGCCACCAGCAGTAACACAGTTTGTTCCCCTTTCTACATCCTGGTGACTACCAAAGCTGCTCAGGTGGACCCATTTCTCCAGGGTTTGTCCTTTTCTTCACTCCTGGGGTACCCTCCTTCCTCCTTGGCCTCCACCACCCAGAAAGCCCTCCTTCCAACCACTTCCAAGGTACAGCCTGGCCCCTGACCTGCTGCTCCTCCCGGCACCCAGCCTCCTCCAGCTTCTGCATCAACAGCTCGATGGCAACGCGATTTTCCTCCTTCTGGGTATGGAGGGCAGACGTGTCCCCTTCCAGCTGAAGGATCCTGCAGTTGAGCTGTGACAATTCATCCTTGTACTTCTGAGTCTACAGCAAAAAGAGTTAAAACATATATATATTGATATATATATATATATATATTAATGCTTTTAAACAGCAGCTCAGTTCAGATCATTCTAGAGTTTCCCAACCAGGGGTGACTTTTCTCCCTATGGGCTTCTGGCAGCTCCTGGAGACATTCTGAGTTGTCAAAGAAGCTGGGCAAGTGGGCAGAGGCCATACTTGTACACAGAAGGCAGGGATGGTCCAGCCTCAGCGGCCAGGAGATGAGAACTAGTAACCCTACTCTGTTCTGTAAGAGGAGACGACCCAGGCCACCAGAGACCATTATGTGCTACAGCCACCAAACTACCCTTCTGATGTCTTCTAGTCTTTATCATTCTTCTGGTCTGCAAGTCAAACTGGTAACATAGGACCAAACAGCACGGCACCCTGAAGAAGCAGCTAACAAATACAGTCTAGGGACAGCCTGTGAGATAACAGTCTCTTCCAAAAGCCAGTGTAATGGGGTCAGTGGAGCTGATATGTCACTACAGAAGACTGTATTTCCATTGCTGTCCCTAGCAGTGGCCTCTGAGTCCTTGTCTGCCCTGTGACTGAACACGTGCCCAGCGAGGGAGCCACCCTGTGCTTCCATCAGTATCCATGGGATTCATGGGAAGAAGTGTCCACCTGATCCTCCCAGAACCTGGCCCCAAGGAGAAGCACCATGCCCACAGACACGCGCAGTGAGAGCGCTATTGATCACCTCAGCTATCCAGTCTTCTCAGCTACATCTCTGATGGTGCTGATCTAGGTACATCCCCAGAGATGTGTGTCCGGCTCATTTATAATCCCTTCACCCTGCAGACAAGACAGTGTGACTGACTTATGCCCCATATGTCAGCTGCTTATGTGTGATGTTTGGATCACTGAAGCATATGAGCTAGTTCAGTTAACTCTTCAGCAATATTAAATTAATTAGTAAAAGATGCACTTGTTGTGGGGACACCTGCTGGAGTATTTAAGAGCACAGTGTCAAGATACGGCTCGGAAGAACACACACAGGAAACAGAGAGTGCAATAGTGAGAAACTGCAGCTGCACAGAGTCCCTCACACTCACCAGGGAATGGTGATGGGTGACAAAAAGACAACCCCAAAGGCCACACCTGGTATAGTTCCACTTACATTACACTTTGAAATGACATTTCTGGAGAGAAGATTGGGGTTGCCAGGTGGGAAAGTTGGCGTGGCAACTAAATGGTAACAGGTATCCCTAATAGAAACACCAATCACAGGTCTGTGAAGAACATAGGAGTCTACGCAGTTGATACAATTATATAGGAGCCAATGCATAAGCAACCAATGAGGGCAAGTATAAAAACTGGAGGATCTAAATAGGCTAAAAGAGTCTATCGGTATCGTACCTTGGCTGTGACTTTAAGGGCTGAGGCATGTCCTCCCCAAAATTCAAATCCTGAAATCCTAACCACAGCACCCCAGAATGTTGACTAGACTTGGAGAAAAGCACTTTAAAGATGAACGGAGGTGACACTGGAGTCCTCGTGAGAGGAAGTGAGGACACAGGTACTCATGGGGAAACTACCATGCAGAGACTGAAGGGGACGGGATGGCACGCATGACTGCTAACAGTGAGGATAGCTGCCAACCTAGGGAGGGGCCTGATGAGGAGAGCTGGGGTCGGCTGCAACTGGATCTTGTAGGGAAAAAATTCTCTACTCCCCATTCATCAGAGAAATTACTTCAAAACACTAAGAAAGGGAGGTGACATCACTCATGCTGGTTAGTACCCAACCTGTGTGCCAAGCTCTTCCAGGTCAAAGCAGGCCTGTTCCTTGTCTCTCTTTAAAACCTCAATCTCCTCCCTGTTGAAGAAGCAGATTAAAAACATCACTCCACAGCCTGGGCTCAGCCCTGCCTCCAGTTCTGACTCACTGACTTGCAGTAGGTAAAGGCTGGACAAGAGCACGGTGGGCCATCGCCAGGCTGTGCTAGGCCCTGCTCCCCTCCAAACACTGGCAGCCCCAGCCCCTCCTCAAGTGCCATGTGGGCTATTTCTGCAGGGCTAACACACGCTTGTCCTGAGCTGTGGGTGGGATGCCAGGCAAGCGGCAGCTTGTACAGATTACAGTAGTCTAGGCTCTGCTGACCCATAGACGGCAGCTGGAGTCCCCAAGCCGTCTCATTGTCTCACAGTCCCCCACCGTCCTCCCCTCCTAAGCTCACTCGGGAGTACCATCAGGCTGCAGCACACAGGTATGGGAACTATGAGCCCACCTTACCTCTGTGTTTCATTTCTGCTCTCTGAAGTTTCTAGTTCCAGTTGAATCCTCCCCAGGTCACTTTTCAACACCAAGTTTTCTTCAGAAAGCCTCTGAAACTCAGCCCTGTGGTCAAAGTTGAGGAAGCCAGTGAGACCTGGAAGGGGCAAGCTGGACACAGGCTTGCAGCCAGCGCATGGGAGTGCTGAACACTGCAGGCTGCATCCTCTCTGGAGGAGACCAGCACGAGGCCTCCTGTCTCCAGGGAGCAAGCGCTGGTGTGTACTCCCCGAGGGCCAGGTCCTTTGAGCCACACCCACACCTCCTCCACGCACTCAGCACCCAGACCCTGCAGACACCTAGAGGTGGTGAAGAGCCAAGTCCCACGTGGTGTATGCCTTCTTCAGAGAGGCCATGCTCCAAGGGCACCAAACCGAACAAAAACTTGGAAGTTGAACTGAAGCTGTGAGCAAGTAGTGTGCCTCATAAAGCTGGGCTGGCCCAGGGCGCATGTCTGTACCAGCAGCACGGCCAGCAGGGCAGAGAAGCCATGCTGTGGGCACCCGCACAGCTGGAAGTCCAGAAGCTGGGGCACAGAAGGAAGCCCAGGCCGTCTCAGGTATCTCACTTTGTCCCACTTCTCTGCAAGGCAATACAGCCAAAAGCAGTCTTCACTGAGGCTCTCAAGATTCCTTGAGGTTAACGTCAAGTAAATATGAACACACACAGATTAACAGGCATGTGCAAAGGCTACCAGGAACGGCAGCAGAAACAAGGTGACCCATAATTGGATCCCCCAGGAACCTCAGACACTAGAAATATCAGAAGTCAGGGTACTCAAGACAATACTCTACATCTGCTTAGTAGGCAAAGGTGTGGAGAAACCCCTATAGACATCTGCAGGAAGTAAAGAGCCCTTTGGGTACAATGTGGTCAGCCTGGAGGGTGTCAGGCTTCTAGCCCGTCAAAATGTCTGGGATTTGTTTTTTTTTTTTCTTTACATATTTAAGGGAGAAACACATATCAATGCTATTTATTTATTTATTTATTTATTTATTTATTTATTTATTTATTTTGAGATAGGATTTCTCTGTGTAGCCCAGGCCGTCCTGGAACTCACTCTGTAGACCAGGCTGGCTTCGAACTCAGAGATCCACCTGTCTTTGCCTCCCAAGTGCTGGAATTAAAGGCATGCGCTACCATCATCTAGCTTCAATTTTATTAAGAGAACTTTTTACTATCTAGGCTGGCACCCCTCTCCCTCTCTTCCCCATCTCTCGCTCCTCCTATAACTCTGCATAGGAGAATGTCAGCAAATAAAAGCAACAAATGGGGCTAGAGAGACGACTCAGGGCCTCCTCAGTGCCACCAGCCCAGAGCCCCTCAGATGACCTCCAGCCTGTCTCTAGAGCAGTGCGCTGAAGTGAGGCTGATGAGGCTAGAGGGGAACATATTGTCCACCCTCACGACTCCGGCTCCCCGACCATGAATTCACAGGGGCTGGGCTCTAGTAGCAGGTTCCTTTCATTTCCACAAAGCAAATTTCTTGGGTGGAGCAGGCTGGTTCTGCAGCTGAACCCAGCTTCCTTTCCCTTCGGTGTCCTTTTTCTGACCACTTTTCTCTGCTCAGCAGGTTTTCTCAGCTCTCACAGGACAACTAATATGCTCAGAGTGTACATTAATGCTCTCGACAAGGCTCTTGCCCATAACTCGCGTGTTTACAGCAGTGCCAGCAGCATGCTAGGTAACATTTGCAGACTGACTCTTCCTGCCCAACCATGCTAACACCTATGGGGTATTCCTTTTTGAACAGTACCTTTGATATCTACAGTATTGTCCTTCTCATGGATTCTTATATATGTGGCCAAAGGAACAACTCCGGGTTTTTTAAAGGCCTAGATAACATATATTGGTGCCTTTCCTCTTCCCACTGGGTTTTTATTTTAATGAATTCTTGGAAGATAATGTTTCCTGCTGAAAGGAAGCCATGTCTACTTTCTTAAGTTGTTTATACAGTGACATTTGCATGTCTAAAATTCTGATCTATCTATCTATCTATCTATCTACCTACCTACCTACCTACCTATGCTGGTGCTGGGTATAGAACACAGGGCCTCACACATGCTAAGTACATGCTATGTCACTGCGCCATACCTAAACCCCACATTTTCCCCAGAATGAAAGCAGCTGCAAGCTACTCCCCAGTGAGCAGGAGTTCACCTTTTATTGAAAATGGTTGCATCATTCATATGTGACCACACACAATCCTGGAACACACCCATGTGCCTACTGTGTGTCACTGTGAGCCTGGGCTTCCTGTAATGACCAGTCTCTACAGGGGCAGATACCTCCTCAGTGTGCTGAATGAGGGTTGGTAGGAGTAAAGAGAAACATATATGGTCCACCATCATGTGCCTGCAAACATCTCTTCCACTACCAGAGAAGGAGCCAACCATGGCCTGTAGCTTATGCAAGCCTTCCCAGGATCCTGGCATCTGTGACGGAATTGGTACCCATCTACATCTCTCAGCCTCTTTCCTATGGATGGTATCCCAATGACATGGGCTACAGCAGTATTTCCAGCCCTGTAGCAATGAGACACCCAGATCCCTGATAGTGCTGAAGCCGCCCAAAGCACTACAGCCCAGAGGCCCATTCCACAGAAGCCTCAGTGGCTGCTGCCCACCAACCAACACAGCAGCCTGTTGATTCACTTTCATCCCAGAGCCTGGCGCAGAGGCATGCTGCAGCCCCAAACTTAGAGGGATGAGGGTTCACAGAAGACCCACAACTTACACGAAACCTCCGAAACTCTTATGAGGTGAGGACACTTAGAGTCAGCCAGGAAGGCCTACCCTTCCTCTCTTGGCCCATGCTGACACCAGGGATCAGAAGAGCCAGGAGAGAGAAGTGGGCTTGTGACTCCCGCAAAAATAAGAGGAATCACAGCCACATTGGCAACCAAGATCTAGAAACTGGGGGAAACTGTACAGTGTTCACTAGGGACAACTCTGAGGGTTTGTGTGTATTTTATGACCAGGAGTGACAAACCTGTAATTCTCTCTGGAATCCGCATCCCTTTCAAGAGCCCGAACAACGTCTTCCAGCTGCAGAAGCTTGGTCTTCACATCATTCATCTCACTCTCTGACATCACTGATGTCACCCTGGCCTCCGTTTCCCCCAGGGTGGCAAGGTGTTTGAACTTGGCCTCATGTGAATCTGGGAGCTCAGAGCAGGGCAGTGAGGGCCTGGAAGCTTCTTCGGTGAAATGGAGCCAAGTCTGTTGGACACGCTCAGCATCCCCAGTTGGCCCCTTTGAAACCTGTCCCTGAACCCAAACAGGGGCTGGCTTCCTGTCCAGAACAGTTGGGTCCAACCTTGGCTCCAACATCTGGAGCTGAGTAGGTAAGAACAGCTTCTGATCCTGGCCTGTTAAGGCCCTGGCAGGAGGCTCTAGCTCTTTTGGAACAGCTCCCTCCTCAGAACTGAGTGGACCTTGATGGTTGTCTCTGACACCCAGGCTCTCCGGGGATCTTCTGGACACTAGGGCAGGGTTTGGGCTTGGCATGGCAACTACACCACAAGGCTGGCCAGGAAGTTCACTCCCCTTAGCTCTCCCTTGGCCAGGCCATTCTTCTGCTGGTGCTCCTGTCCGTCCATCAGGGCTGACATCTGGCCGAGCTGGTGGCTGCTGCCTGCTGTCTGGACCCAGGGACATGGATCTGGGTGTCCTCTCCTGCTGGTCACTCACCACAGTGGTTCCGTTCTTCAGGAGAGCACGCAGTGCATCTGCCTCCTGCACAAGTCCCTCCACTTGATCCCTATAGGTTTGTTCCAGCTTCTCCTTCTCCAGGGTGAATGACCTGCAGATGCGCGCCTGCTCCTCGCTCATCACAGCCTGCAGCTTTAACTGCTGCCTCCGACAGTGGGCCAGGACCTCCTGTTCCCGCTCCTCCCTCCAGCCCTTCTCCAGGGCAAGCTGAGCAGCCAGGTCCTTCACTCGCTGCAGATGTGCCTGCAGCAGCTGGTCCTTCTCACACTGATGCTGCAGGGACAGACTCTCGCAGCAGGCCGCGTGCTGGGCTTCCAGCCACGACAGCTTCTGATTCAGCTCTTCTTCTGCCTCTCTCCTGCAGAAACACAGCCATGCACTTCAGGTTCTGCCAGCTGACTCCTAGGCCTTTCCACTCATACAAGAAAAAGTCACTGGAACTCCTGCTCTAAGTGCCTAACTAGCCCCTCCCTCCTCTCTGCAGACTATTTTGTGTCAGGATTCCCAGTTCCTTCCCTGGAGTCCTTTGTGGAGTCTACAGTCACAGAATCGTTCACCATGTCAGACAGCTCAAAGATAATGGGGTTACTATTAGGTAGAATTAAAATTCTTGTCCTTGGCCACACTGCAAGTGCTTAGTCAACCATGGCTGGAGGCCTTGCACCAAATGCTACTGGGCAGAGCTGGTCCCAGGGGTTAGTGAGACAGAAAAAACTGACCCCCACTCAAAAATCTCCTTGAAAACCCTATAAGCAGTTTGGCCTGGGGTTTCCTCAGCCTAGAGAGAGTGGGGAGGATGTGGGAGTGAGGTAAGGGCTAGACAGAAATGCCCAGCTTGGTGAGGCATGCTGTGGACCCTGGCAGGGGACATAAGTACAGTTGGACTAGCTGTGGACTAGCTGGTACCACGGACAAGGTACCAGGTGCCCAGCTGCACAGCTCCCCAGGAAGGAGAAGCCTGGGACATCCTGCATGCTGCAAGAAAGACGGCTCCCATGCCCCAGCCTTTAGGTACTATACCAGGCCCCAAAGCAGCTCGTGTTGAAGAGATAGCTTAGGATTTGGGGGAGTATGTGACTTGAAGATGCTTCTGCCCGTCAGAGTGTCACAGTCAGTGCCCACAGATCTCCAGCAGCCCTGAGGGTCTCTGCTGCTATCATCCCCAAAGGGAGGGAGAAGGGCTCTGATTCTCTCCCCTTCACACCCTATGTTTTCTGGCTACTCTCAATTCTGTCCTACCGAGGAACATGCCCACTTCAATCAGAACTGACGCCACGACAGGCTGAGCTGCAGCTGTCAACATATGACAGGAATGCGTCCCTTCGTCATCAACATCTGGATCCAACAAGATGACACCAACTGAACCATCTGCTCAGTCTAGCCAGTGGGAGGCTCTGGCTCCCAACATGAGGGTGGCCAGGCCAGAAGGTAGGAAGGGCCATTTTTTGTGGGGTAACAACCTACACTAGCTTTGTGTCCCCAGTAACTAAGTACTGACTCTACCAAGTTGGCCTCAGGGAAGAGAGGGCAGGTGACATTTCTCAGGTAACGGACACAATGTAACCCACCACATTCAGGTTTCCCAAGTGACCCTTTCTTTCCAGCTACAAATATTTTAGCTTTCCAAGACTTTTCTCGATAATCCAAATCAACTGTCTATTTAGAGTGGCTTCTGGATTTTTCTTCCTCTACTGCTGTGATGGCTAATATTGTCAACTTTGTTACATTTGGAGTCAACTAAAACCCAAGCTGCTGGGTACATGTGTGAGCAATTATCTTGATTGGATCATTTGAAGTGAGAAGGCCTACCCAAAATCTGGGCCACATCTGGTTGTAGCCCAAATAGAAGGACATGGAAGAAGGAAGCTTTGCTTTTTGCCTGCTTGCCCTCACTCTCACTGGCAAAGTCATCTACCCTGTTGCTGAGGCGTTCATTCACTGGTATTAGAACCTACTTCAAAAAAAAAAAAAAAAAAAAAGAACCTACTTCTTCAGATTCCACCAGAGACCAGTTGAGACATTCAGTCTTATGGACTGAACAACTACTGGCCTTTCCTTTGAGAGAAAGCCATTGAACTAGCCAGTCCACTGCCTATAAGCCAATCTAATAAATACACTTCTAATATGTCTGTCTGTCTGTCTGTCTGTCTCTCTCTGTTTTTTTCTCTTCTATCAGTTTACCTGGACTAATACACCTACTCTTTAATGTCCTCAATATTTAGTGATGAGGAATACATTAACTTGCTATCAGACAAGTGAAGAGGAGGAGGAAAGAACAGAGTCTAGGCACAACCCAGCAAACTGCTCCATGACCCAAGGTGGCCTGGAAGTGAAATTCTTAGTTAGAAAAGTGTTCTCTGGGCCCTTGAGGAAAGGAAACTTCCCTGCCACTAGGCAATGGATCCTGGCCCATGTACATAAGCCTATGGTTAAGTTTTGGTTCTTGGCAAGTATCCCTGAACAAAACCCATCCCAAACCTTATCTGTTGCAGCTGGTCCTGGTGTCGCAGGTGCATCTCCACTTCTAGTCGCTGGGCCAGAGTACACAGTGCCTGTGCACAGCAGTGGGCCAGCCCAGCTGATGCGGGCTCAGGGCTCCGTGCTGCATCTTGCAACTGCTCCTTCAGGCCCAGGATGACCTCCTGAGACTTGGCATACAGGGCCTCTAGATCTGCCTTCTGGCCCTCCAGCACGCTGACCTCAAGCTGGAACGCCTGCTCCAACTCCTTTTTATCTTTCTCAAAGTTTCTCTTCATGACCTCAATTTCCTTCTCATAGTAATTTACCTAAAGAAAGATGAGCAGTGCTAATTAGGAAGTCCTAGCGGCGTAACACATAAACAAGAAGATAACAAGCAGGACGCTCAAAAGAGCTGATGGCCCAGACCTGACCAGGTCCCAGGATGGAGAAAAGGGGGATGGCAGGATAGGGATGTTACCAAGGTGTGCAGTGTGCCTATGTCACCCCTTCACAGAAACCCTGTGCTAGGTTTAGGGGGTGAGCTCGGAAGGCTTGGGACCAAGACTGGCCAAGCGCCTGGCAAGTACCATGAGTCTAGAGCATATGACAACTAAGGAGCCTTCACAAGACCAGCAGGGCGGCACTCCACATCCTGGAAGCCCTAGGGATACAGAGGCTAAGCCATGTCAGAAGCTCCCAGCATATCTACCAGGGAACACGAGGATACTATAGTAGGACAGAATGGCCTGCCCTGATAAGCAGTCTGAGGAGCTGGACACATGGCTTTGCAGCCTGAGGTCCCAAATCCCCTCACCTTGGTCTCCAGCTGCATCCTGAGCTCCTGGTAATGTTCCTTCATCTGCTCCACCATTATCTCTGTCTCCAAACTCATCGGAGCAGAGTCACCCACGAACAGATTGCCTGCAAAGAAGACACTCTATGACATCATGTCTAGGATACCTACAGCGCCTTCTTGAGCCTTTCATCGGACTTCTAGATGGCAGCTCCCCAACCTGGAACATGTGACCGCAGGTTGGCAAGACGGTCGTCTCTCTGCCCGCCACCAGCACTGTATAAAGAACACGGGGTTGGTAGTAAGGGTCACTCTGCCCTGCGGGTGCAATGTGATTGAAGACTCTGGGACGGAAGAGTCACACTGTTCTGCAAATTGATACTACAAAGAACTCAGAGGTTCAAGCCTTTCTCAAAAAATATATATCTATATTTTATGTGTTTGGCATATATGCCTGGGCACCATGTGTGTACGGCGCCCATGGAGGCCACAGATCGATGTCTGATGCTCTGGAACTGGAGTTACAGATGATTTTGTGGGCTACATGTGGTTGCTGGGAACTGAACCCAGGTCCTCTACAACATGTGCTTAACCTCTAAACTAGCTCCCCAGCAGGGTTCGAGTCCCCACCATATCACTGGTTACTAAGAGAGAACCAGGAGGCTCCTGCAACTCTCAGAAAGATCCTTGTCAGACGGCGGATTCACTGCATTTAAAGTCTGGCTCCAGATGATGCCAGGAGCACAGAGGAAACGAGAAGACAAGGCAGAATGGTGAGAGCTTCACAATCTCCCTACTGTGTAAAGCTTCATGACTGAGCCTCCACACTCTTGAACATGTTCTAACGCATGGGCTCACATATCCAGTCTCTGTCCCAGGGATTCTGGCAGCCACTCATGTCCCACATAGGTAAAGTCCCTACTATGCTCCTCTTGAAGGGTAGATGGTCTTTTCCTGCTCTCCAACATAAACAGCTGTAGGGTCCGAGGAGACTCAGGAGCTCTCAAAGGCTGAAGAACAATGCTGAGGGGCGTGGATTGCCACAAAGTAACTAGGTAGGGGTGGTGAGGGCTGCTGGATTTCCTGGGCAGCAGAGGGATGGGGCCATGAGTGTCACATGATGCTGCTGAAGAAAGCAGAGCTGGAGTGACTTGCACTGATGACAACAGCCTGGGACAGCCGGTGGGAGGGTAGAGACTAACCCAGTACCCCGTCCTCCACAAGGGCTGTGACATCTCCACAAACCCCCCACCTTGGTTTCTAGAAAAGACCAAGAACACTTCAACATGGCCCTTGTCTTAACCCACTGCCCAATAGCCAAAGAGCCTCTAGTGTGGTTTCAACAAGACCCAGCAGCCAGGACCTTGCTATATGACATTCCATGCCAGTGCCCTTCCCTGTCTAGCCCTGTCACACCTGTGATCTCATAGGACCCCCTGTGGAAACAGGCCCCAAGGGCAAACCTGTATCCTCCAGGGTTAGGTAATTAACGTTTGTGATTTCTACAAATGTAACAAAATCTTCCATCCTCCTCTCCTTATCTCAGACCTCTAGGCTGCCAAATTAATGTGCAGCCTTGTGGTCATGTCCAAGAGATTCACCCTCAAATTACCCTCAGGACTGAGTTCCTACCTGCTGGGCCACGTCCAGGGAGCCGACTTCTATGGGTGCCTGGGGTCCCTGAGGGGCTCTGTCGACTCCTGGGAAGCCGCACCCTCAGGCCTTCTAGCTCCGTTTGCAACTCATCATTGCGGTCCTGTAGGTCCTGTGTAGGCAGAGCCAGACACCTCCTCCAGCTGCTGCAGTCACTCAGCCTTGAGAGGCCAAAGCTAAGACTAGCCCCATCTGCAGTCAGTGTCCACTACAGGCTAGACATATGTACGGTGTAGATGGGGGTTCTCTAATGAATTACAACCTTATGTAAAGATTTAAGTGCCCATTCCTTGAGCGCCCATTTTACTTATCCTTGGTCACTTGGCAGTGTTGTCTATGAAGGGTTTGCCTATGAAGGTGATTCTAGAATCACCAGTGTTATTTCCAAGACTATGCAAAATTTTAGCTGGGTGGTGGTGGTGCACACCTTTAATCCCAACACTTGGGAGGCAGAGGTAGGTGGATCTCTGAGCTCTAGGCCAGCCTGGTCTATAAGCCTAGTTCCAGGACAGGCTCCAAAGCTAGAGAAACCCTGTCTCAAAAAAACAAAAAAAACAAACAAAAAAAACAACAACAAAAAACCACAAAACAAAACCTATGCAAAATTCTACTAATTTAATAGTCACGACACTGGGCAGCAGCTACTGACTTACTCTCCTTGATGCCTATGATATAAAGGAGCAAACAGGCCTGTGGGCTCTAATGATTTTGTTGTTTGTTTTTGAGACAGGTCTTGCAACATTTCCCAGGCTGCCTTGTATTTGTTTTCTTGTGGGTTTTGGAAGGTACTGTTTTTTGGAGACAAAGTCTCAGGTAGCCCAAGTGAACTTCCAACTGGCTATGGAGTCAAAGATGAATGACCCTGAACTCTCAATACTGCTGCCTCCACCTCCCAAGCCCTGGAATTATAAGCAAGCATGTGCTTGGCTTAAGACTGACCTTTAGCTCCTGGGTACAAGCAATTCTCCTGCATCAGCTCCTGCATTCACTGAGATAGCACACTACTATATATTCTAGTTTCAGGGGCAGGAGTTTTTAATCACACATATGTCTCTCTTCGTAAATAATGTTTCTGGTAAGTTTTATATAAATTAATTTTTTGGTAAATTAAGCTTAACCAAAGGCTGCCTAAAAGAGTTGTGACAGATCACTTTATAAATCAAAAGTATTTTCAGTATCATTAGTAATGAACTATGTCAATTCTAATTCTTCTTTCTGTTCTCACACTGAAAACTTCTTTAAGATTCGTCCTGGGAGTACAGTCAGGGACACCTTCTGTCCTGGGATTTGACTAGTCACTGGGATATCTGCTGCACAACTAAACAATGGCCTGAATAAGAAGTTCTTGCTGGAAAAGATGCTCCTGCTGTCACTTGTGGGTCACCCTGCACCTGTAGACCAAGGAGGGGAGAGAGGTTAAGGCCTCACATGGCCTCCAGGGTCAGAGCCGGGGAGTTTTTGAGAACCCATAATGCTGGCCCTGTGGAGCTGGTCCTCCCTTCCTGTTACTGCTACAGGGAAGGCTACAGGGGCAGGACTCAGGGACGCTCAAGATGCCCAAGCCGACTCCGAAAGGCACGCACCCTGCACTTGAGCTCATATTCTTTCAGGACGGCTGTGAACTGCTCTTCTTGGGCCAGGAGCTCCATGCTCTGAGGCTCGAGCTGAAAGTGAGAAACATGTACACATCAGCATATCAGGGTCCCTGGGAAGACAGGCACAGATGCCCTGACTATCACCCACCACCCACAGGCACTTCTCTGAAAACCTGGAATAGCAAAAAGGCTCACCTTGTCCTTCAGCACGAACTGGATGTCACTCTGCAGGCGCAGGACCAGCTTCTCCGAATCTGAAAGCTTTTCCACCACTTCTATGATTTCCTTCTGTAACCGGCTATTTTCCTAGGAGACGGGGGTGGGGTGAGGTGGACAGGGTTCAGGACACAGAGGAAGACAATGACAAATGTCCACGTCACTTCTCTGTTTGCTGGAGGCTGTTCCTGGCAGCATTTCTCAGAAGGAACCCGAGAAAGGCAGGGGGCATGTGGGTGTGTGCTGCCGCTGCATCAAGCAGGCAGAGTGTGCTGTTGGAACCCACAACGTCCTTTGGCACACACAACAACTCCAAGGTGATTGCTTCCCCACTGGTTCCCCTTTTCCTTGACCCCACTCCCATGTTCGGAAAGTTCATGAGTGACAAAAGAACGGCCTGGTAATGCACCATTTTTGAGCTGCTTTTTAAAACAATGGGTTTGAAGTTGTGTCACTATGGCTCAGAGGTCAGGCACAACGGGGTGTGTGTGTGTGTGTGTGTGTGTCTGGAGACAAGGGCTGTGCTGGGAAGATAGCGGCATCACACTAGGATGATGTCAGTTATGTCCAGATACTCCTACCCAACGGGCAGGGACTGCAGGATGCAGGGTGGGAGGGGGAGAGACCACAGAGGTCCTTAGGCATCGGGGCAGGAGAAGAAGCTGGGTGCAGAACAGCAAGAAGGCTCACAAGTCAGTGCTTCTGGAGTTTGGCTGTCTAAACAGCTCAGACAGCTTTTGAGACACAAGGCAAGGTAGGTACAAGGCATCAACATTCACCAAAACCCTGAAAGCTGTGTCTGCTTGAGACTGTGAGCCCGGGCCAAGGGGCAGTGTCTAGGGGTGTCCCCAGACCCTAGGGACGCAGCCACGCTGGCTGCGGAAACTGACTCACTCTGATTTTGAGGAGTTCATATGACTTAGAACAGAGGAGGATGAAGCAAAGCCAAAGCCTCTTACCCTGAGTGAGAACATGGCATCACGCTGCTCTGCTGTGGCGGTTTGAATGGGTATGGCCCCTACAGACTCACGTGTGTGAATGTGTGAGCCATAGGGAGTAGCACTACTAGGAGGTGTGGTCTTGCTAGAGGAAGTGTGTCACTGTGGCGGTGGTCTCATATATGCTCAACCACACCCAGTGAGACAGTTCACTTCCTGTCACCTGTAGATCAAGATGTAGAACTCTCGGCTCCTTCTCTAGCACCGTGTCTGCCTGCACGCTGCCTTGTTTCCTGCCATGATGACAATGGACTAAACCACTGAGTGTATGCAGGCCCCAATAAAACGTTTTTCTTTATAAGAGTTGCTGTGGTCATGGTGTCTCTTCACAGCAATAGAAGCCCTAAGACATCACAGTTTACACCAGGGATGCACCCCACCTACCTTCAGGGCCAAGGTCAGTTTCTCCCGCAGACTGGTTTCTTCAGTCTGGAGGCGGCCCACATCCTGCTCCAGCGCAGCTCTCTGCCTGCGAGCTTGCTCCCAGAACAGCTCCCGCTCCATCTCTACCTCCGACCGCAGGAGGCTCAGCCTTCCCCTGTACTCTTGCTCTAGGTGCCTAGGACACAGCACAAAACACACAGTCCCGCTTGGAAGTGTAACTCTGCCTTCCTGGGCACCTGTCCTCGGAACTGCCCCTCTGTGGAACCCTGTCAATCTACTCAGAAGATGACCTGCGGATGCTACAGACAGGCGCATTGGTGGGCTGGCGGAGGTGACACCCAGTCAAGGGGACTTGAGGGGAGGTGGTGCACACATGACAAATATCCAAAATCAGTTTGCTTTCAAAACCAATTCGGAACACAATGTTTAAAGAGGAGACTCTTCAGTGAGTACCACTAACTCAGGGCTGGTAAATGGCTGATGTGTGACCCTGAGGGGATGGTTCTTGGAGGGAGAACTGTTCCCCACACCCATAGCATGAAAGGATCTGGTGAGGAAGCATTAACTCCCAGTGTCACACACAAGGAGCAGCTAGCAGCAAGCCCTGCACACACTCTGGACCCAAAACTTGGGAGCAGTGTAAAAGTATGTCAACCCATTGGACATATCAAGGGAGAGAGAATGAAACTCAAGTGACTGCACCGGCCTGTCTTAGCCAACTGCCAGTGTTTTTCTACGTAAGTACTCTAACTCTGAAACATACCCAAAGCCCTTTCTCCTCTCTAACAACAGTTTTGCTCTGAAAACACAGACTTCATGAGCAGTTCTGAGAAAACACAGAAGTGACGGGAGGTCCTTAGAGTAGCAAATGCCAACACGGTGAAGATAAGTGGTAGCCTGGACCAGGGCACTGCGGGAAGGCTGGGAAGCCCATAGTCATCAACCGCTCACAAGAGCGGAAACGTAAGAAGCCATTTCTTATGGCAACACCATCCTGTGATAAACCAAAGTGGCCTAGCCAAGGGGAAGATGTGCCTGAACCAGAAGGTCAAGTGCACGAACTCCACCATTTAGTGGGTCTTATACACACCCTCCTAAGATGAGGCCACAGCTCAGGTGTGCCTGGAAACACTTAAAAGTACACACCTCACTTCTAGCTTCGCTGAAATTACCACCGTCCTATCAAGGCACTGGCGCTGGGAGTGAGCATGCAGCACTGCTCACTCACCCACTCACATCCATACATCCACATGCCTCTTCTCAGGTCTGCACAGAGCTAACAGTCTCACACAAGTTTATCCACACCCATATATCTCTCCACAACCTGGCACATAAACACTCGTTCTCAAACACAGCTGCCGTCGAGGCGCACATCCGTAACTCCATTATGTCATCTTGCACACAACCCTCCTCACACATCTGGCCTTCCCCAGACCAGAGAGAGGAGGGGCCCATGTGGACACAGCAGCCCTGTCATACCAGAGCTGGCCAGTGTGGGGCAGCACTGGCTACAGGAAGGGAGGCAGGGCTGTTCTACATAGCGGCAGCTCTATGGGAGCTCTAGGGCACAGGCCATGGGGGAAGGGGAGTGCATGAGACCTCACGCTCTGGGAGGCCTATAATACACCCCGCCTGACCAACTGTGCAGACTGCACTCCTTGACACTCCTCAGACCTAAGGTTCTTATACTCCCTAAAGAAATAAGCTATCTTTGAGATGCAGCAGGACTAGCCAGGCACGTTGGCCCAGGCTACTGCTTATAACCACAGCTACTCAGGAGACTGAGACAAAGATTCCAAGTGGGAGGTCAGCTTGAGGAGCTTAGTAAGACTGTCTTAAAATGACACAGATTTCATTTCATTATACAAATATAAACTATATAAATAAAATATAAATTATATAAATAAAAATGTATGTGTAAATAGCTTGAATGTAGTTCTGTAGTACAATACTGGCTTAGTATGCATGAGACCCAGGAAGAAGGGAGAGGGGAACGGTGTAAGACCTGGACAGGGAACACTTGGGTTTCAATTGCATACACCCGTGAGTAATTGTGAGCAAGTTATGAGATTGTCTGACTCTCCATTTCCCTGCCTGAAATGGGATTGAGATGGGTGTTGGAGGTTAGGTTAGGCAGCGTTGACACAGACAACATCACAACAGCCTGAAACCTCACCTCCTTCCTTAACCTCTGGCTTTGGGCTGCCCTACAAAAGTGCCAGGACACCTCGGGTGAAGGAAGTAATGGGCTTGTGGTTTAAATCTCGCATTTAGCAGAATACGATCAAACTGATAGGAGGGAGGGGCTGGTGCAGTAGCGTGGAGATCATCCTGAAGAGCCTGTGGCACCCGAAACCCACTGTCCTCAGCTACACAAGGTGTTGTCTAGGCTGCTGTGGCTCCAATCTGACCCTATGTTGTTCATCTCTTGTCCCTGAGGCCATGCTGGCCTAATAGGCCCCTGGCCAGGTGGACTCAGGTGCCAAAGCTACATACAAGGTAAATAAAGGAGGGCGAAAATCCCCGTGGAATCCCCGGAACTCCCATCAAGCCTGTGTGGGAGGCTTCAGAAGACACGACTCCACATTCCCAGCTGTCAGGACTGCTGTGAAGAAGCACGGCCTTCAGATGCCGCAGTACACACTGCAGGACACACAGACTCCTCAGCAGGTGGACGCCCATTCAGCACCAAGCGCCTTCCCTTTTCCTCCCCTCATGCAGTGCAGGCCACATTGATACAAGCAGCGCACTCAATGAACACATACATTGGACTGGCCCCACCAGTCCAAGAGCTGAGTGAGGGATTTAGGCACAGCAGGATTGGGACTCTGGCCTTGGGCAGGTCTCTCTAGCAGAGTGCCAATCAAAGATGGAGAAGAGGGAAAAGCAACCAGCACTCTCTGGCCCACATCCTGACACAGAGCTGAGTGATTAAGAGCATCAGGCATTCAAGCACGTAGCTGAAGCTGGCCAGGAAGCCTAAGACTCCCACAGTGGAGCTGGGGATGCTCCTTCCATACTGTAGCCCTAGAAGTCTTCATGCCAGAGTTTTCTCCAATATCTGGTTAATAAACCCAAGAGGTAACTTTGTGTTTTTCTTTTAGGCCCACCCGGCCGCCTCTCTCGCTGACCCCTATGGATCAGTGCAGGTGCTGTTCTTCCAAATGACTCACCGTCTTGAAATACAGGCACGAGTTAAGGCAGGAGCCTGATAAATCCATGCACAGAGCTAGGGTTTTCCCGACGGCTACAGGCACACGGGGGACACCAGGGGTCACTGTACCCACATCACAGAAAGCAGGATACTGCTTGTCAGATGCAACCCTCCCTTTTAGAAAAGGTGTTCCCCAAAGTTGTTCCAACTTCCACTGGCTCCAGTCAAACAGCATCCTTGGCCCTTGGCTGGTGCCCCCCAAAGTGGGGTTGCTCACTGCTGCGGCAGCCCGGGAACTGTAGCCTGTGGGTCCACACCTACTTGATTTTCTTTTCCGTGAGCTGTTCCAGGGCAGAGTGGCAGTCGTCCATCTCTCTCACGAAGTCCAGGTTCCTCTTCTCAGCTTTCTCCAGGTCCTGCCTCGCCTTGTCCCGCTCACGCATCAGCTGCTCCACTTGCCCTCTGCCATGGGAAGGACAGATGGGACACTGCTGTCAGCCTGACAGACTTCCCTGAGCCTCACAGCTGGGTGTGACCTCACTGCCCCCCAATCACCTCCTGGGCACTCTACTATTGTTGTGGCCGGTTTACCAGTGCATGTGTTAAGTCAGGCAAATTACTTCCTCAATGGTAAGCTAAAACAGATCCCAGCCTATGGAATGTTAGCATTCAAATGGACTTCCTTTTCCTGTCGCTAGCCTTGGCCAGGAATCCCTTGGCTGCTCTCGGGAAGCAGCCCCCTCTTATCCCACAGGGTTTCTGCCTCCACAACAGTGAGCCCCAGAATCAGCAGAATGAGGGTCAAGCTCAAATCTTCAAACATCAAAAAAGTGGCTGACTGAGGTCCCGGATATATGGATTTCTAACAGTATCCCACGTTTGAGGATGCTCTGATCTTTAATTTCGGGGACACATAATCCAAGCAGTAGCAGCAGTGAACAGCTCTGGGCCCTCAGGCCTCCTCTGCTCTGTACATCTGAGCTCTGGTTACTAGGGCAGGGGAGCAGGGAACAGGCAGCCTGGGAGCCACCAGAGGAAACTCAGATGAGGCAGGGAAGGTGTGACCTAAGTTCCCAGGAGGTGGACCCGGCCAGCGGGACCCTAATCCCCATTCCCTGGTGGGTTCTTACTGCTGGTAGCTCAGTTCTTGGCGGTAGCAGGCCAGGGCTGCCTGCTGGATGACACCATCAACTGTCAGGAGTTCATTGTCAAGGGCCCAGGTCAGCTCCAAGAGGTTCACCTTCTCATCCACACTGAAGTCCAGGCTCTGGAATCAGCAAGCCCCAGAAGGCAGAGGGCAGTGAGGAGCTTCTCCAAATGTACTCTGTTAATCTGTGGCAGCTCAGGGGCCCATACCCACAGTGGCAACTACAGCCAGCACCTGCCTCTTCCCTCTTTACAAGTGTCTCTGGTTCTTGGGGTCTCCTCAACCCCAGTAACTCAACTGGGCTGTCAACAATGGGCTTCCCCATCATGCTGTGGTCCCTAAGACACCATTTCATAGGTGGGTACAACCCCAAGATGGACAGAATTCTTCCTTCTACCTAAACAAGTGTAAGATGCAGTAAGGAGCATCTCACCTCAGCACATCACATGAACTGAGAATGAGTCCCTTCCCCTTTGAGACCAAGTTCCAGACTGTTTTCTCTGTACTTTTACTTTCTGAATTAAATTTTCCTACATTTTCTTTGCAAAACCTGATTGAAAATGTTCCCTTTGGGGTTCCCCTGCACGGGGCAGGGGTTCATCAGTACCCAGCACATGCTCTCCTGCATTTATTCTCTGTGAACACATGGCCTCTCATGCCCTTTGCTCAGCCCCAGGGTTCTGGACACCACAAGCAGTGCATGGCAAACCTGTAAGATCTCCCTGCCATTCTGAATGCCCTCCTGGGCCCATGAGGAGATGACTTGTTCTGGAAAGGCAAAGCCACTGCCATCGTCAACACTGGAGAAGAGGCGCAGGCCTGAGCACACGGACACGAGGGACGAGGTCGTGGCTGTAGGGCAGCCGTTCTCCTCCTGCACATCAGGAAGGAAGATGCTCTGAGTACTCGGGTGTCTTGAGGCTGTAGTGTCTGTGCCCTATAACACACAACTCACCTTGCCAGCCTGTGTTCAGTATCCTGTCTTCTCAGTCAGGCTTAAAACAAGAGAACGCATACCCACAATGAACCAACCCCCCTTCCTTGGGAAGAAGCATACCATAGCCCGGGATCTACCTCGGATCACACGGTTCTACAGGGGATAGAAGAGGGACTGCACCCAGTCCTTAGGCCCCAGCCCCTGGCCTTGCAAGGATCCCTGGGTACCTGCTTTTATCTATCATTAGCACCTCATACCTGTTAGGCCTGAGTCAGCTCTGGCCAACACATCATGTACAGAAGGCCAACAAAGGAATCTGGCCATTTCTTCCTATGTTAAGAAAGTACATGCCAGGAAAACCCAGACTGAGAAAGGAAATTACAGACAGGCCCAGAAAGAAGGCAGAACAGCAGCTCAAGCAGAACCCCACATTTCCCAGAACTAAGACCCACAGGCCAGCACTAGGCGGTACTACAGAGGTTTATGGGACAGTAAAGTTGTCTCCCAGAGGGAAAGCTGCCCGCAAGGCTTCTCTACTACCTGAACCCAAGGGCAAGAATGACTTCCCACCCTCTCCTGTTCCACCTGGGGTTCTTCCCCACCACTCTCAGCTGTAAGAGACCTTGGGAGTGAGGCAGGCAGTGCTTCCTTTATTCTAGGCCTGTGGTCGGGAACTCAGGGCACCCGCTGGACCCAGGACCACACCCCATACCCTGCATGATTTTGATGGGCTGCTGTGAACTCTCCTCGTCACCTCCAGTGCCTACATCTCCTTTTTCTTTTCAACATTCTTGTGCTGAAATAAGTTCTCCAACACTTACCATCCCGTCTTTGCCCCATCCTGGTTTGCTCCTTTCTTGGACTTGGCTTTGACAACTCCCCCAGACCAGCCTGAAGATGTTGCATCAATGTGCAGCACCTGGGCAGAGCTTGCTGGCAGTTTTCTCGCCCCGTACACCTGCTCTTTCACCGGGCCCTGCCTCTCCTGCACACCCAGGGAGAGTTCTTCCTGACCTGTGTGGCTGTCTTACAACCCTACGAAACATATTGCCCCATTTGCAAAAGAAAACAACATCTCTACCATGCCTAGTGATGACCACCTGTGCATAAGCTCTGATACCCAAATGCACCGAGGAACTGCTCTGTGTTCCAGGAGGATACAGGACTGATGTGGATCTCTCTGGAGCCAACACATCTACATAAAGCCAGCAGAGCCCACACAGGACATGGTATGCTCAACCCTGCAGTCAAACAGGTCACTCTGCTGAAACCCTTGGAGTCCTGAATGCTGCCCAAAGTAGGAGGCAGACATTCTAAATCAAGAGACATAAGCAGGGCAGGAATTTAGTGTTCTACAAACTAAAGTCAGAATCTGCCCTCTCTCCACCTTGGCAGCATGTGCCATAATATGCTAGAGCAGTGTGTGTGTGTACATATGCACTACGTACAATGAATATAGGCTTATGTTAATGTTTACATATATTCATGTATATATTATGAGTAGGCATGGATATGTGCCATGCATGCAAATGCACAGTAGGTTTATACATACAGTAAATATCTGCTATGCTTATGGATGTGTCTACAGCAGGCACATATCTACACTTGATAAACAGAAGATCTGTGTATACAGTGGGTGCATATGCAGTGAATGAGCAACTGTTCACAGTGGCTATGTATGTACAGAGCCTGCACGTGTGCTTACAGTAGGAGTGTATATAAGATGTGTTTGTACATGGGTCACAAGAACAATGGATGTGCACAAGTCTACACTGGATGCACATATAGAACCTGTGCATGTGTCTACAGTGGATGGGCATATACAGAACCTGTGCATGCCTGCAGCAGATGTGTGCATACAGAAGGTATGGAGTTACCAGTAGATACAGATATATACTAATGTGCAGAGGTCAACAGTAGGTGGTGCAGAGACAAGACTCATGTTCAGTGGGTACGCATGTACCATAGATGTGAATGTTCCCCCAGCAGGTTCAACACACACAGTGGATGTGTAGGTCTGGTGCACTGAATGTCTCTATGCTGCGTGAGACATGTACAGAGCCTAAACACATCTACATACAGGTAGAGTAGATGCACACAGGTCTACAGCACATACACACATACAGTGGATTCACATGTGTCTTCAGAAAGTTCAAATGTACTATGGATGTGCACAGGTCCAGAGCGGGTGTACACATACAGAAAATGTGTGTATATAGTCGATGAGTGTATAGTGGACATATATGTGTACAACTGGTGATCATTTACATTGTGAGTACATGGCAGATCTATGCATAAAATGGGGGTGCCATGTCTAAGCAGGAATGCATGCATGGTGGATATGTGTGTACTCAATGAACTGTGCATGGACAGATGATGTATGCACAGTGAGCACAGTACAGCAGGTATGGATGCATGCAGCGGAATGCCTGTGTTGTACAGCAGGTATGGATGCATGCAGAGGAATGCCTGTGTTGTACAGCAGGTATGGATGCATTCAGCGGAATGCCTGTGTTGTACAGCAGGTATGGATGCATGCAGAGGAATGCCTGTGTTGTACAGTGGTATGCAGGTAGTTTGTGAGCAGAGAAAACAAGATGGGAAGTTGGTCCAATATCCATAGTGCCAGGAACATGGGAGCAACTTACTGTGTGCAGGAAAGGAAAAGAAATAAGGTACATGGAGAGGAGCTGCAACCTCTAGACCATGACCGCTGCCAAAGGTGAGACTCTGCCAGATGAAGAGGCAACTTCTGGGACGTACATGGGACACATAGTCCTCCTTATATGCTAGCCTTGGGTGTACAGGTAGCTGCTGGGCCTTCTAGAAGGTGGTTCAGACTCTGAGATCCCATTTCATAACAGGTGCCAATGATATCAAAGCACAGGAAACGTGGCCTCACTCAGAGGGGGATCCAGCTGAACCAACACTGAGTATGGCTCGGGAAGCCTCACCTTCAGGCTTTCAGTCTTGGTTTTTGTGTTTATATGTAGTGCTGAGAGCTGGAATGGCACATGCTGGGCAAGAATTTCACCATGGACCCACAACCAGCCCCTGGTATTTCTGACTTTAAGGGCTGATGCCATCTTGCAGTGCTTGCCCTGAGCTTCTTTGCCTCTCTCCAGTGATTTTAGTTAAAAACTGAGATTCCCAAATTCACCTACCCATACCAAGGCCTGTCCCCAGAGCTAGTGTACTATGTCTTGGTGCTAATAAATAAGTGTTGGGCCAGTAGCCTCTGAGAAAAGTAAAATTCAGGACGTCAGGTCAGAAAAACCTCAATCCATACAGAGGAAGAATCCCAGACAAGCTATACTACTTTCCAACCCATCCTCAGTGTGTAACAGGACAGGGAGATGGTTGTCTCACTGAAAAACACCGCTCAGTTGCACGCTGAGAGGCCATGCTGAGGAGCTGCCACGTTCCTCACAGTGCACTATTCTCCGGAACATCCTGAGGTTGATGCTCGGATTGTCCCCATGTTACAGATGATCACAGAGCCCAGAGAAGGTGAACTATGCCGTCAGGAATGCTCACCACCCGATGAGCTTGAGGTCCAGGAGCGCTGCACATGCACAGGTGTGTGAACACGCTTACGCAGCTTCTGGGCTCGGGGCCGTGACACTGGCACCACCACCAACCAGCACCCTCACCGGATCAAGGGCCATTACCAAGTACTGCTGGTGCTGGAATTTAATTCTCCCCTTTTACCTGATAATGAGACCAAGGCCTGTTTGGTTTGACCAGACTGGAAGCTTCTGGAAGCGAAGGAGGCTCATGCCCGAACAGGCCAAGCTGAAACTCCGCAAGACTCACTCTGCCATCTCCATCTTGATCCAGTTTGCTGAACAATTCTTCAAGTTCCTAGACAAAAAAGCCGCCACCCTTCAGGCCTGGAGAGTCGCCTTGCTCTGTCCTTCTCGCTCTAAGAACCCAACAAGGGCACTTGGCTTATCCCAAACTAAACTGTCTAGCTGCTTTACGAAGGCTGCTCAGCTGGTCTGAACCCTATGTGGCCTTGTCAGAAGGGAGTGGGCAGCATCTGAATGTCCTAACTCTACAGATTCTCAAGTGTCCACTAGGGACAGTACTTTGCTGGAAACCCAGCCTGAGCCTTATAGTTCATGGGCCATCATGGATCCAGGGTAGGAACAATGAATGACAGAAGGGACCTATGCTATCCCCACCACCAACTTCCTGCACAAGCCTTCCCAGAAGGATGGTGCACATACCGGGGGTGTAGCCAGGTCAAAGGCACTATGCTGGGCTGGGCAGAAGAAGAAGGAAGGGTATTTGTTCTGGGTAGAAGCCCAGAGTGAGGGTTTTAGAAGCAGCTGAGACCCTTGAGGGCAGCCATAAGGTTGTGAGGATGGATTGTGTGGGGGAAATGGACTCTTAAAGGAATCTCAAACCTATGGCCAACAACCCTGGGAGCCATAAAAGATTTGAGGTTACTAAGCACAGAAGCAAACAGCTGTCTGGAGGTGAGCTGCTTTTCCAGACCCAGCACTAAATGTGCCCTCTACAAAGACCAAGTCACTGGGGCGGCTTCAGGCCTTCACCTGTTTCTCAAGCCCGTGGAGCCCGATGCTTTGGCAGACCAAAGCCAGTTCCTGCTCGTTCAAGTGACCACTGCTGCCAACCCCAAGCTCATGCCAGATGCTCTGGACCTGGTTCTCAGGAGTGTCGAAGGAGGGGCTACAGGATTTCTGGGGTGTCCCGAAGACCTCACAACCCCAGGATTGCAGCTGGCCTGAAGCAAGGGAGGGTCACAGTTAAACACTGATAAATACACCCAATAACAAAGAAACCAAATGGAATACTTAGCCTGATGGGAATTAGTTACTTTCACAACTAAACAAGTAACATAAAAGCCACTGTCCTCCAAGGAGAGGTAGACAGAAGACAGGTCGTACAAAGTGAGAGGTGCTCAGATTGCTTCCAGCCCATTGAAAGGCTCAGAAAAGCCTGGGCAGTCCCTCGGCCAGCTCCTCAGGGCTTGCACAGTGGCCAGGAACAGACGTCACCCCCATGCTAGCAAGCTCCTTTCATCACTTCCGCAAGCACCACTGATGATGGCAGTTAATCATACGTTGTCTTTTGACTTAATGATTTATTTATTGCATATGCATTGGGGTTTTGACTGCATGTATGTCTGTATGAGGGCACTGGAATTACAGACAGTTGTGAGCTGCCATGTGGATGCTGGGAATTAAACCTGGGTCTTCTGGAAAAGCAGCCATTGTTCTTAACTACTGAGCCATCTCTGCAGCCCCCTACATTTTCTTCTTGCTTTGGAATCGTTTGCCACGGGCCTGCCCACCAGAAGAAGGCTCCAGGTCTCATAGATGGTTGTGAGCCACCACGTGGTTGCTGGGATTTAAACTCAGGACCTCTGAAAGAGCAGCCAGTGCTCTTAACCTCTGAGCCATCTCTCCAGCCCCCTTTTTGTGAATTTCTATACCCCCAGGAATATGTAATACAACCGCCATCCCAGAAAGGTCCATCCGGTTCATGCCTGTGCACCCAGGGACTGTCTGGAGCTCAGTATCACACACAGACCACAGCAGCTCCAACAGCCAAGAGCCCCTGGGCCAGTCACACTCTCCTGAAACTGATTTGCTCCAACTGTGGGAATCTGGTGGCTGTGTGAGGCTCTTCCAGAACAGAAACACATGCTACTCTCTGCTGGGGGACAACTCAAACCCTGGTAGGGCCTGAGGCGACCCCCTCACAGCATGAGAACCTGCAAGCAGGCCAAGCAAAGCCCTTTGGTCTGAGACTCCTGGGCAATACCTGGAACCCACAGGTCATGAATCAGAGCGGCAGGACCCTGCAACCTCAGCCAGAAGCCTCTATCTCAGGAACTGGTCACAGGGAAAACCAAAGACCGAGTGACGGTCTCATGGCTGTGACACCAACATTCTAATCACTTCTGGAGAAGAAACCTATGAGGGTCACATACATGAAACACGTAGGTCTCCAGACACTGCCCTGTCCAACGGTGGCTCTCAGAGCTCTAAGCAGACACAGCATGAGCCATAAAGCCACAGGTTACCTTGTGCTTCAAACAATTCATTCTGAGGCTCCTTAGCACTCTCAGCATCTTCATCTGACTTGAGGCTCTGCGGAAGAAGGAAAGAGTGTGAGTATCCAGTGGGTGGCGCAGTGGGTGAACCATGGGAAAGCACAAAGGAGAGCGGGGTGGGAGGGGCCACTGGAGATAGGCTCTGGGATGGAACCCTTAGGTTGATGTTAACAGGTTGGGGTCCCACTAAGCGAGCTTTGTGTGTTATGAAGAAGACTACGCCCTCTTAAGAGCAAAAAGTTCAGGTGTGAGTTTGGGCACGTGTCTTGTTCTGCATACTTGGGCTCCTTAGCATAAACTACCAGCAGGTCACACTGAAAACACAAAAAGCTCCTGTATCCCACAGAAGCATTTGACAGGAACTGTACAACACCCCACTCATGGGACACGTACAACCAAAACTGCGGTATCGTGGCCGTGTGCACAATCCTTTATCATCCCTACTAGTTCAGAAAACAAGGACTAGCCACTGACCCTTTAGGGGCTCTGGGGACAATACAGTCCATAGTAAGCACTGACACCTCGGCCTGGAAGACAGGGCCAGCAAGAATGTGTGATTTTAGTGAAAGCCTCACCACACCAGCAGACCGGAGCTAAAGCCCGTTTCTGAGCAAGTGCTCTGTGACCCTCTGGTTCCCGAATGAACACCTGGGCGACCAAAGCGCTGCCCCTTTAAAGCTGCCCTAACTCTCGGAGGTCAGAACCCAAGGTGGCGATAAACACTTGCTTCCGTTCAACTCGGCTGACAACAGTGTTCTCTGCGTCTGCACTCTGAGTCAGAGATGAAGGACCACAATGAAGGTGGAGAGTCACCAGCTCGGAAGTGTGTTCACCTCGCCTGCCCAGTGCACAGACTGCTTTACGTGAAGCAGGCAAGGCTCCACTGTTAGCAGCGAAAGGCTCAAGGGCGGGGGAAGTGTCAGCATGTGTGGACCCTGGTATATCCTGCACTATAGATTCCAAACTCCCACATTCATTCCTAACCTGGAGGCTCACCAAAGGCTTCTTTTTCCATTCCTTGGCATGTAATGTTCCTCGGTTGGGACACCCTAACTTGAACTTCCCACAGTGAGAGGAAGGAGTGGCTGGTGAGCCACGAAAGAGAAGTAAAAGTCATCACAAAGTTCCCACTGCTCCAAATCTGAAGGACAGTGGCCTGGGACCAGGACTGCCCCAGATAAGAGAGTTTCAAATGAAGCTCAGCTGCCATGCATACCCAGGCTGCTGACATCTCAAGGCCCAAGAACTTGGTCCCCTGCCTGCATCCTCCAGGACCATGTGTACGGACGGTGACAAATTGACAATCACTGCCCTAATGCTGGGCAGCCTGGGTGGGGAAGGTGGGCTGACTTACCTCCACACTTTCTAGGGATGCAGACCGCCTCAGAGGTGACTTCACACTACCCTTGGCCTGCTGCTGTTCTGATCCATATTTGGTTGCAGTGGCAGGGTCACAAAGCTCAGGTCGGCTCCGACGGCCATACCACTTAGAGCCACTCATGTACTTTGGAGGGACAGCACAGGAAGTAGCTGGAAAGAGAAAAGGAGACAGGGCAGAGGGGATGGCTGTGAAGCAGGATGCTGGGCCTGCATGCCAACAAGACCCTTTCTTAGAAGCTACAGGTCAGAGCACCAGTATGGCTCACAGACACACTGTCGAGCACGTTCACCTGGGGAAGCAAGGACACTGATCAACAGTGGCTGTCCTATTACTTGAAGCAAAACTAGGAATGCCAGATAGGGCACGGGGGACTCCTACTAAACACCGGGTGCTCTTTACTTTCTCTTGAGCATATTTTGGGGAAACACCAACAGTCCAAGAACACATAGCTAGAGAACTGAGGGTATTTTCCAGAACTCCTTCCTTAGTGTACTAGACTCAGGGCCACAGACTGTGCCCCAACAAGCCAGGCTCAGCCACCGTCACAGTAAGTCAATTAGAAGAGCCAAATTAACAATAAAAGCAGGTGTACTCAATGTGGTCACATTAAGAAAAGGGATAAAGAGACCCAATGCCCCCCTTGAGTCTATCTGCAGGGTCCTGCCTCGAGGTTACGGTTTAATTAGAAGGCAAGAGATATATATAATTTGGCGCCCTGATCAAGGTATGGTTCTGCCTATCAGTGATCCACCACTGTCTTGACTCCAGTCTCTCCTGCAAGGCGGTCTGAAAACCTGCCAACACGTGTGGACTCCTTCTGCTTTCCTAGAGACAAGACACATCCACACACAACTCATACCAGGATTCAGCAACTTCCTTCCCTCAGTATGAGATTTCTGAGGGAAGTCCCAACTCCCTTAGCGTTTTGCTCCAAAGGTCACGACAGCCCGAGTGAGGGGCACATGTGTCTCTTTAGAAAATCCCCACTCTTGCTAGGCTGCTTTAGGATCTCAAGTCCTTAGGGCTAGAAGAGCTCGCTCTACAGGCAGGCATGGGCAACAGAACAAGACCAACTCTGCAGTCCTGTGCAGCCTGAAGGCCCGCAGCAGAAGCAGCATGGACTGAAGGGAATACGCCAAGCCTTACACTTTCTTGTGGCTCCTTCTTTCTTCATCCGATGGGCATATCTACACAACCTAACTGAGCACACGTGAAGAGAGCACAGGGAGAGAAACAAGAGAAGCAGTCATGGGATGTGGATTCAGAGGAAGAATTCAGGATCAGAACTCTGAAGGAGAACCCTAAGGAGACCTGGATGAGCCCACTGAGGCCAGGCCTGGCTAGGATGTTGAGAAGTCCTTCACAGCACACGTGACTCAGGTTTTACCAAAGAGAGGGCAGCTTCATAAGACCAAAAAAAACCATCTGGACTCTTTCCTCTGTGCTGATGGTCACTACCTGTCGGCCCTTGGGCCATCTGAGGAATCTGGGTGACCTGAAGGCACACGGTAACTGGGGGTGAACAAGATTTAGTGGGGCCAATGCTGAGTTCTGCTCTGGATCTGCTGAACGGGGAGCGACAGTGTAGCATTCAAGGTGTCTGAACACACACAGGGTTTGTTTCTTCAGGACACCAGAGAGTCATCGTGAGTGTCACTAGTAACTGCTCTAAGACAGGGTCCTTGAAGGGACAGAGGTCATGGGGCATGTTGAGAAGAAGGAAAAACATCCATCCCACAGAAAGAAATCAAAAGAATATATGAGAAAATGACCTGAGTCCACAATCAACTCCCCATAGGCAGAGAGAATAAAAAAAGCGGGGATGGGGAGGAGGGAGGAGGGACACGAGGTAAAACTTAAGCATGTCACTCACACTTCTTCGAGGGCTGTGGATACTGTTTCAGAGTCCACGCATGCTCTTTCTGGTCCTGGAGCCTCGACTCCCCTCAGAGGCCCTGCAATGCTATTGTCTATCTGTGGTGTCAATAACTCTTTTAATGAACTTCAATATCTTCAATAATCTGTCTCAGTGTCTTTAAGCCCCACTAAAGAGCTTTTAGTCACGTAAACAGAAGAACAAAGGCAGTACAGTTTAGTTGGCAGCCAGCAAAATGCCAACCAAGGCTAGAGAGCAGCAACACTTGCAAGGTCAATAGTCAGAGTTTCGGGCAGGGCTAGCAGCCAGCAGAAGTCAAGGTTAACAGCTAACAAGTGACCACCCTCCTACCTGGGAAAGCATTAAACATCTCAACTGAAACTACCTCAGTCTTTGTCCAGTTTCTGCCATATTATTAAAAGCCCCTACAACATGTATCTGCAGTTTCCTTCCCTTGGGACCTCTTCCACCCTATGAAGCTACTCCTGTTTTCCCTTAAGAAATCTGGTTACTTGGCTCTCAAGAAGGAGTAATCACAGGACAAAGCCTCTCATCGTTGACTGGCTTTCATTTGTAGGCAAGGTGTGGCTGGGTATAGTTCTCCTTCCTGTCTTTTGGGGAAGCACCTTCTGGTAGAACTAAGATGAAACCCCTATCGTGTGCTGTGGAAAGCACACGACACCTGGGCAACCTAAGAAGATGCCCACGCTCGTCCTCCCCACCAGGAGGCCTGCCACAGAAGAGACTCCAGCCACCAGGCCATGGCTACAGCCCCACCCTGGAGTTAGTCAGGCACATCTGAAAACGGTGTAACTTGCTATGCTTCTCCTCTTCCCGGCTTCCTCGTGTCCGCCGGCCCCGTTCCTATCTCTGTTGTACATAGTCAGGCTCCACACAGACCGCATACTGCAGTTACTCTCCATCTTCATCCGCAGACAGGGGCACTTCCCTCATAGCCGGGAACCATGGAGGAAAACACATGCTCCTCTCGCAACAGTCCTACGGATCTCACCCGAGCAGCCCACCCGAGCAGCCCGAGGAGAACTCACCCTCCACAGGCAGAAGCACTACTCAGGAAAGGGTACCATCGGGCTCTTCAGCACAGAAGCAACAACGGCAGAGCAATGGTAACAACCACGGGGCAGTGTCCAATGCCTATAGCAGCCTTGGCGCTCTCCCATGAGGTGGAGCAGAGTAAGTCACCCGGATCCAGCATATCCCACCAGTCCATTATAACACCAACTCCATATTCATCCATAGGATCCTGCAGGAGCCTCACTGCCTGGCCAGAACTCAGCATACCTATGTGCCATTATTAAGAGTACAGACTACTGAGACAGTACAACAGAGTTGGAAAGTCAAGTGCATTTAGTTACGTGATCACCAATGGCCTTTAACAAAAGAACGGGAGAACAGAAGTACAGGGTGGCTCTTCCAGACTGCTGTATAGCTAGTTCCTCCAAGTTGAAACACTCCTTCCTCCAGGGAGGAGGGAGGTTCACAAGACTGCCAAAGCTTATCAGACTGAGGAAGCTCAGGAAGACACAAGGTTTACAAGACTTGAAGTTCAAGGCTATATCAGCCCTGAGCAGCAGCTTGGGGAAAGAGGCTGGTGGGGGTTGGGGGAATCATCCAGGCTCCTGTGATAACCCCACTAATCTAGAGGTCACACAACAGAGATGGGCAGTGTTTCAGGAAAGGCATGGAGCTGCTTCGTTGAGAAAAGCTCAAATTCTATCAAAAGGAAGAAAAAGAACTGGTACTGGCGGGGAAGAAATGCAGATCAAAGTGGCTCTCTTCTTGGGGAAAACAGGGCTTGCTCCAGAGAGTTTCAAGCTGTGAAGTGTCACATGGCAGGAGGTCACATGGCAGGAATTAGGGTACCTTTTATCTTTGGTCCAACATAGGGGCTGGGTCTCACTTTCCAAAGTGACATTCTGACATCCCAGTTACCATCCAAACTCTGGATCAGGAAAGAATACAAGCCCTCTTCACATGTTTGGAGAGAAAGGTCTGAGACAAACACTTGTGCACGCAGTGTGGGGCTGACACAGACCCCAGGCAGGGCTCTGTGGCCTATGCCCGGAGCCTCTGCAATCAGAGAGGAGGTGACAAAGGGACTGATGGTGTCATCCAGAGCAAGAAGCACAGTGTTCTGTATGCACAGGGCTCAGAGATGGTGGACAGCAGGGACACAAACCCAAGTCACCAGGTACTAACGACAGGTCAGGAATAAATGTCCTCTCGGACATGGAACTTCTAAGAGGGAAGAAATGGATATAAAATACTCGTGGGGCTCACGGCCCCGCACCAGTCCCTGTGACTTTCACACCTACATGCCTCTGCTCCTGACCAGGGCCCTTTACCCTGCTACATGGCCATTCAGCGTACCAGAGGGGATAGTTGTTCAGCGAGCCCTGAAATCACCACTGTCCACCTGATACAGTCCTCATGTCCCTAAACAGACCTGCCTCCAGCTCCGTCCCACCAGGCCCACTGTTCTTGGACCTCACAACCAAGGCCCTGAGCCTGGTGGCTTCCTGCCACGATACAGTAGTACTTACTAGTACGTTCCTGCCCCACAAGTATTTCTGCAATGGGACTCCTGTTAGCCGTGTTAGCACACTGTAACACCACTGGCTATGACTGCAGATGCTATGGTCCAGAACAGAAGGTCAGGCTATGTGCTTGGTACCTCAGAGCCCTGGGGCTCCACCTCTCCCTGCTCCACACCCCTCAGCTCACTTGTCAGTGGCCCCTACCGGGAATACACGTTACAGCCTATGACAGTCACAGAAGAGGAAACTCCAGGTATTTTGCTCAAGTCCACACGACTTGACGGTGACAGAGAGAGAGGCTAGACTTTAGAACAGTGAAGCTACACTCTGAAAGACCACAGATAAACACAGGAAAGAAACTCAAGCACTTAGAGGAAATCCTCTTACCTGACTCCGAGGAACTACCTTCTTCATCAGAGGGTCCTACACCAGAGCCAGAGGATAGCACAGTCACAAAACCTTCCTTAAATTCCTCGAAGTTGACCTGCAGGAATTAGGGTAAGGAGAAGACACTGTTACTGTCCACCGATTCACATTTAATTTGATGGACAAAACAAACAAAACAATCCTGATTCTTTTTTTCTCAAAAGACGTCTGACCGTTGCCTTCTGTAGTGAGAACATTCGCTTCACTTTCCAAATATGTACAATATGCACTTAAATCATTTTCACTAAAAGCCTCTAAGACAGAAGGTAAACGTGAACCACCAGACCACCACTAAATAAACCACTTTACAAAACCAAAGCAAACAACACAATTAAAGAACACCAGCCGGGTGTGGTGGCTCACCTCCACATGGTTGATGCGGGGCAGCTGCTTACATTCCCTCAAGTTCTTTCTACAATCCCCGGAACAACCCTGGTTCACTGCTGGTGACTCTCCTTTCACAGTTATCTTTCTATGGGTGCTGGGTACCAGGTGCCCACGTCAGTGGCACAGCAGTGCACTCTCTCTCAGGACGAGCCCATACTCACCCTGGCCAAGCGGTCATTTCCAAGAAGAATCTGAAGAAGTGCTGGCAGCTGCTCTTCCAGGCCAAGCTTAGTGCAGAGCTGGGTCAGCTCTTCTTGGTCCAGAAACCCGGTCCCTGTGGTGTCGCAGCTGCGGTAGACGTCCCTGAGCTGTGAGACATAGTGGTTCTCTTCTTCGTTGTCCATCCCATAGCAGGCTGCTCACGAAGGAGAAAAGTACATAGTCAGGATAGGCTTCTTGGCCCCACTCCTCTCCTGCCTACATGTGGGACAAAAGCGGGTCCCAGAGCTATTGTGTTCAAAGGCATCAGGAGCCCTTTTGGGGTCAAGTGCAACTGAAAGAATCAGCTTCTTTTTGCAGGAGATGTTAGTGTCTATGACAGGGGTCCAAGTCATTCATTGATCAGCGGTTACAAGAAAAGGGGTTTTGTTCTTGTGTTTTTTGTTTGTTTGTTTTTTTAGAAAAACTGTAGCATATCCAGAAAACTGATAAAGTCTAGTACTATGGCTCGTGCCTACCAACCCAGCTATATATGGGGCTGAAGCAGAGGACTGTTTGATCCCCAGAGTCTGAGGTCAGCCTGGGTAACATAGCAATATCCTATCTTCAAGAAAGAAAAGAGGAAGCGAGAATGGAGTGAGGGAGGGAGGAAAGAAGGCAGAGGAGATATGGAGGAGAAAAGAGATAAGCACAGAAAGAGCTCAAACCATTCACAATTCAAATACCTAGAAAAATTGTTAGCAATATTTTGGAGAGCAAACACCATTTTTCAACACACACACACTTACTTTCCTTTTACCTTATAAACACAAGGTCTCTCCTTTATACATAAAAATACCTACCTGTATAGGACATGAACTCCTTTGTGGGTATAACAGGCCTATAAATACAAGCAAATGAGTCTCAGTCCTGTAAGCTGCCCAGGCACACGGTCAGGAGGAACTCTATAGTATACCATGCCATAAGTACAGCTTACAACCTAGAGCCTGTAACTGGCATCTGACAGTTTGTCCCAAGAGTGTGCTGCCCCTAGGGAGTCCCTGTCAACCTACATGAAACTGCTGGACACTCAGGGAGTGTGTGTAGAGAATCACTAGATGTGCAAAATCATGCTTCCAGTGTTACCAGAGGGCTGACAAAGTCCTTCCTGTTCTACCTCATTTTTACATAATTGCCTACTCCAAGACCCTATTTCCAAAAGAGCCAGATTCTGAGGTATGGAGGGCATTAAAGCTTCAACTTGGGAGTTTGGGTGGGACACAACTCAGCCTAATGGTGACTACTCCCCTCTCCCTCGCCCTCTGGTCTCCCGGCAGCTCACACAGGCACTCTCCCCACGTCTTCTCCAGGATCTGCTCAGCAGGTCTTCTCTAGGCTTCTTACAATGTCTAACTCAAGGAGGCCCATGATCCTTATAGTCATGCACTTTCTGCCATGACAATGCTCATGATGACAGCCACCAACTTTCATCCTGGACAAGTACAGCTGATGTTTTCCCGCAACCCCTAGAGTGGTACTATTGGTATGTCCACTCTCTGAGAAGCTATATGGCCTCAGTCAAATACCTTCATCTCTCTGGACCTAGGCTTCCAGATATATCAAATGAAGAAGCCAAACCTGATCCAAGGCACCTCTGTGATCCAAACTTCTGACTGTCCTGTGCCCAGAACAACACCTTCTGAGGCCCCGTCACCACTGAAGCTCTAGGGGAGTGGTGACGGTAAGGTCACAGGGACAGGGAGCGGCCTGATCCTACACAGGGCTCTAGAAGCAGCCACTTGTGTGTATAAGACGCAGGCTAAGTGCAGCTCCCGGGCTCAGCGCTTGGTCACAGTCATCCACTGAGTTGCTCAGTAGAAGCCTGGCTCCCAAAGGATCCTCCAGCAATGGCTCCTTTCCCTCGGTTACTCTGTGCTAAGAAGAAAGCATTCTGGTTCTTTTCTCTTCTTTGCAGACACGAGCTCTGAGAAACTGCTGCCCTCTGTGCACACTGCACAATGACTAAGCAGATAGCCCTCAATGCCAGGGTGACAGGCAATCCAAGGCAGCTCGGTTTGTGTCATCCTTTCTAAACAGCTTCACTAAATCCTGAGTACAGCAAACTTGTTTTGAAAACTGTTTCCATATGTACAAAACCAGATTTGAGTCAGTTTCAGGATTCATAATGTTTTACCAGCTCCTAGCTAAGCTTGCTATACACATCTGCTGGCAAGCATGCCTCTAGAAAGGGAGGCCATGACAGTCAAAGGAAATACAACAAGCAGTGTGGAAATGGACACAATGCTGACCTGACAGAGAACGAACAGCCAGCATCTGTAGAAAGGAAGGACCTGTACCCACCTAACAGATATGAAGGGAGAACACAGGAAGTGATTTCCCATAAACCTTTTCTCATTTTCCCCCTTCTTCCCTCTCAAGTCAAAAGCCTACTGACAGAACAGTAATACAGCATCCTCTGCTGTGTGAGTCCTTCGGAGCTTCACCCTGAGTCAAAAGCACAGGTGTACTCCAGGGCCTGGGTTCCAGTCCTGCTGGCACCGCGAGATGACAAGGCCACCTAGGCTCTTCTACCAGAGAAACCAAGGGGCCGTGAGGAGAAGATGTTTGGCAAAGGCCTTCTGATTCTGACTGGTAAGCTGCCAAGTCTAGAAATGCCCCCTTTGGGCTGATGAAGCTCTGAAAAGATCCGCTCTCCAAGGTGTGTCCTGGGAGAGAAACAGGAGCGATGGACAAGCGGGAAAGGAGATGAGAGGAATTCCCAGGAGCCATTAGATGTTACAGCTTTGTTCGTTTACTTGGTTTACAGTTTGTTTGCCATTTTGAGACCAGGTCTTATACTCTGTGGCTCTAGCTGGCCTTGAACTTGCAATGATTCTACTGAGTGTTAGAATCATAACAGGTGTGTACACAGTACAAAAGGGCCATTCTTGCAACTCTGATGGCTCTGCTCCTCTGTGAGGATCAACAGCTCCTGCTGTACAATGAGCATGGATAAGCAGAGTCTGGGTCAGTAAATGATACCCAGTGGAGCCAGCCCTGCACCAGCAAGGTCCCGAGTGTCTGAAGAATCCTCACAGCAGCTCAGTCTCGACTTCCCATTCCAAACCCCACTACACCGAAAGCCATTTCCTATATTTGTTTATGTGAAAACCGTAAGTGGCTTCCAAATGCTACTGGAAAAGACGTATGTGATCTAAAGCAAGGGCTGGAGAAGTGGCATTTTAAACAGAGCCCATGCACTGCCATGCACGGGCCAACAGTGGTCTCTGCCAGGGAAGGGGACACTAAGGCGCTGCCATTGGTGTCCTCTCTCCTCTGTGCTTTGGCATCTCTAACAGCTGTTGGGTGACATACAGAAAGCCGTTTTCTGATTTCCTTCACTAATCAAGACAATTGTAAAGAAAAATAAGAGTGGTGGATATGGCTCAGTGTCTCGAGTATTTCCTTGGCATGTATGAGGCCTGGGGTTCAATCACCAGCAGCCCATACATACTGGGTGTGATGGTGGCGGCACATACCTGTAACCCCAGCATCAAGGTTATCCTAGGCTATACAGCAATTTTGAAGCCAACTTGGGCTGCATGAGACTCTATCTCAAAAAAAAAAAAAAAAAAGGAAAATGAAGTAAAGAAATAATAACTGTAGTCATTTCCCAGAGTAAAGCAAAATAATTTCTTCCAAAGTCCAGAGGAGACAGGAGTTAGCCTAAAATAAAAGGCTAGGTCAGCACTAGCATATGCCTGAACTAGAGAACTGGAGTCTGGTAACTCCTAATTCTTTTAAACCAAACACAGGCATGTATCACCCAGGAACCTGGGTGGGGAACATGGCCTGTAATAGATTTATTCTCTCTTTATTTCTCCACCAGGATGGCAGTGAGGGGGGTGAGTCACTCAGAGGGACACACACGGGACAGAATATGGTTCTGACCTCATCCATGATGCTTCTGGGTCCAACAATCCTGCCTTCAGACAGAGAGGTCAGAGCAGAAAGACTGAGGGAGATGCTCCTTTGTGTGGGAGGCTCCAATGCCCAGTCCCTGAAAGATGCAAGGAATTCACAAGTAGCACTCCCCAGAGCAGCTGAGGCAGACCACCGCAAGGGCTTTAGAGAAACAAGTGTGACGCTTCCAGGCAGAGCTGGGGGAGGGGGGAGCCCAGCACGAGATGGGTATGTTTATAAACTGAAGGGATGTTTATAGAGCAAACAGACTCCTAACTCCCCCACCCAGAGAAGGGAAAGCCAAGCTGACAGCACATCCAGGAGATCCCACTGTGCCATGGCGACAAAAGCAACAGCTCTTACTCGGTGACGCGGTGTTGAGGCGTACTTCAAAGACTGTAAAATTTCTTTCAAATGTCTTAAAAAAAAAAAAAAGACATCTTTTTTTACTTCAATATTTATAGGCGTTCCATTGGAAAGTGACATTTCTCCTGGAAATCACAAAGCACGGTATAACGAACTACCTTATATATAACTTTTTTTTCTTTCTTAATTAGAATTCAAAGGTTGATCATCCATGCAGGGCAGCAAACCCCCATAGCTCATAGCTACCTGGAAGGCAGACGTGGGAGGACCACTTACATCCAGAAGTTCAAGACCAGCCTTGGCAACGTACTAAGACACACAGTCTTGAAGAGAAAATGTCACTCTGCCACTTCAGGTTCATAACACACACACACACACACACACACACACACACGCCATAAATGAAGATACAGGTCTAAGTTTATATTTGAATTATATCACAAATCTTGTACATTTTAAATCAGTGCCTGATCAAAGAAAATTCTAACCTTCTATAAAGTTTTATGAAACACACACACACACACAAAACTGAATACATCTCAATCACAGGGGTCTGTAATCCAATCAAAGTGACCCTTTCACAGATTTATTCACTCTGCCTGCCAACCCTACCTATCCCGTTACTGCCTATCTATTGGCCAGTCTGCTTTTAATTAGACCAATCAGGTGCCTTAGGTAAGCCAAGTGAAAAAGCAACACATCTTTACATAATTAAACAAATGCGAAATAAGCAACGTAACACACTTTTACACAGTTAATATTCCACAACAGAAACAAATGTAATTTCCACAACTGACACGGCTCAGCAGTTAAGAACACTGGCTACTCTTGCAGAGAACCAGGGTTCAGTTCTCAGCATTCATATGGTGGATCACAACCATCTGTAGC